TGATAATGTTATGTTAATAACGTTATGCCACTATGTTACCGCGCAGCACTCCGTATCACGCCGCAACAGGAGGATGGACAACACATGGTGTGTTTTGGAGGGTGCTGCTGCCTCCCCCCCCCACCCCTCCTTCTCCCTCCTCCCGCCGTGACCAAAAGTGGCCAGAGTCGTTTGAATTGGATTATCTCATGCATTTTCTCTTATCTAGCGAGACCTTGAAAGAGATAGGACCCGCTGAGAGTCAGGGATTGGAAAAAAAAAAGAAAAAAAGAGGGTTGGGGCAATTTGTAGTTGAGCACCCCTCACGCCACACACGCACGCACGCACGCACGCACGCACACACACACTCAAGAAAGAACATCAGTTGAAGTTATTTATTTATCCTGACTTATTCAGGTTAATCTTATTGAGATCAATGTGCTCCAGAATAAACGCAATTGACATACAATTAGTTAGCTAAAGGTTTTTAAAAAAAAAAACAATTAACAGATTTTTTAGCGTCAACAGTTATTAATGCTGGAAGACGCACCGAGGAGAAAAGTAGGGCAAGAGAAGCTGGAGTAAACAGAGAGGAAGTGGACACGCAATAATTGAAGGGGCTGAGAAAAGTCTGCATGGAAAGAAAGTAGAAAAAACACAAGAGCGCTAATCCTATTGCTTAGAAATGATGGGATTAAACAGAAGATGAGGTCCTCGAAGACTGAAGACAAGCAAAACCTTTGCACAGGGGAAAAAAAAGTATTCTAAGTGACTTTGCAAAAGCTTGTTTTTACTTTCTAACAAGAGAGAAAATTGGGTAATGTCTTCTGTGAAGTAGGTTAATTTGGTTTAATCATGGCACAATCAAAATATCTCACTTTGTTGACACATGAAATCATAGATTGTCAAGAAGTTTGAAGCACCTTTTAACTGAAGCTTAATTTCATGACCGTGCAATACAAGAAGCCTCGGTTTGAGAGGAAAGCAGTTCAAAAACTCGAGCCTTCTGTGAAAGCATTTATGCTGCCACCACCGTTTCATCTTAGAAATGGTTTCTTCACACTGAGATGCAGGTATGTTTTTTCCAAGACCCATATTTTTGTAGGCCACAAACCACAGTGTTGGTCCCTCTAGACCAGACCACCTCATTCCACATCTTTGTTGTGTTTCCTAAATGGCTCATGAGAAGCTGATTCTCAGGACTTTCTTCCTGCCACTCTTCCATCAATTACAGATTTGTGGAGTTTGCCATCACAGCCATCCAGTGATTCTTTCGCCTGAGCTGTACGTCTCTGCTGCTGGTCATCATCCTCTTGGCAACTTCACCAATTAATGCTCCCTTTTCCTGCCCTGTCAGTTTTGGCAACACATTTGAACCACATTCTTTCTACATCGAGATGATGGATTGAGATTTAATGATATTTCCTCCTGACCTTCCTCTGCTGCGTTCCTTGGTCTTCATGATGCTCACTAATATCCTCCAACAAACCTCTCAGGCCTTCACAGAACACGTTTTTACTGGCAATAAACCAAAAGCGGGTTTATTTTGGAATTCCAGAGCAGAAGGGTTTTAGAAATTGCCTGTTTGTCCTTGTTAAAGTCACACAAATTGATTGAAATGTGACAAAATGCAAAATGATTTAAGCAAGTCCTCAGGGGTTGCTTTAGCAAGGCACCTTTAGTGATAAGTTTGTATTTGATATTACACTGAAATGTTCTTGAGAATAAAATCAGTTGGGGCATTATGCATTTAAGACGGAAGCGCCGGCTATTTTCCCCCTTGTCCGGATACCATCCACGGATGCAACATCCCGAACCATCAATAAAAAATTTCCAACTATTCTCTGAGCGTGATACATCTGTCATATAATCAGTAGAAACTTTGTTTACAAAGTGTGTGGACGGCGAGACAGTGAACCTTTCATTTATTTATGATGTGTCTAACCAGGGACTAGACATAATGGAACGTTCCATTAAGGACAAAAGCAATCGTTGCAGATCAGCCTTCCAAAGAATAAAATAAATAAATAAATAAAGTTCTAGACCTTATCCCTGTTAGGGCTTCTAAAATATTAACCTTTTGAACTACAGATACAAAGAAAGCCAATTAAAACCAATTAGAAGCAGCATGAGCTCTCAGGGACACATGAATAAAAACGGAAAGCTGCAGCACGCTAAATCCTTAGGAGTTAACTGTTTCAAGTCTGCGTTTGTGATCTTCTAGGAAAATAACTCTTGAGCTGCTTTTGAGTCGGAAAGGACGCACAGAGAAAAACACAGTGCACAATTTCTGATCAATTAAGTCACACAGCTACTCATTTTTTGACACTTTGAGTCTCTTCACTCTCTCTGGCAGGAGCTCCTATTGGTGTGCTTCTCGTTAGGCTTCAGCAAACGTGTGAAAGAAGAAGGAGGTGAACGGATCAGATGAGACAACGCTGCATGTGACTCTTGACACACCGTCCTCACCTTGAAACATGGTAATGGCAGCATCATGCTGTCCGGATGCTGTTTTTTTTTTTTTTTTTTTTTTTTTGTTTCTACGAGGACGGCTTATTTTAATGTACGTTCATCTCATAATGGCCCAGTTAAAGTCCATCAAGGGAAAAAGTTTTATTTCTTTTGAATGAAAATGACTCATTATTGTAGTTGTAGAAATTACACACATTTTACAGAGTTTAAAATAAGTAACTTACTTTTTATAATAATGAAAACAAAAGGGCTAACCTTGCCAATAAAACCTAGCGAGTGACTTTAATTCAAAGGAATCTGGAATAGATGGAAGTGGATGACCATCACAGGAGCAGCACTGTGGATCTGTGTGTGGGGTGTGTGTGTGTGTGTGTGTGTGTGTGTGTGTGTGTGTGTGTGTGTGTGGGTGTGTGTGTGTGTGTGTGTGTGTGTATGTGTGCGCGTGTGTGTGTAAATGCAGAGAAAGGCAAAGCATGAGCAGTGACAGTGCCAAGGCCTGGCTGATGGGGGGAGGATGAACCTCTCCGCTGCTACAAAACCCAGGCTCACTGCTTTAGCACCAATGCATTTTTGATGTACCCCCGTTTTCTTGCTTCTGCTTCTCCGTAGTCCCTGATGGAATAACAGCGCCCCCAGCAACCTCCTATATAGCTTAAATGTAGCCTGTGACGCTGGCGGTGCGTGGGTGTTCCGGTTTGTGTCCCCGTGTGCGCGAGCGTGCGCGTGGCAGAAGAGTGGGAGCGCAGACAGACAAATAGAAAGACAGAAAGAGACTCTGGGAAAAGGAGAAAATGTTCCCCCTTGCCTATTAAATATTTGAGGAGCCTTCTGTGGAACAGGCCAGAGACGGGCCTGTGTTGGCGCGGGGTGTGCTTGGGTGATGCAGGGAGAGTCAGGGCCGTTAAGGTTTAGACTAACTCAGCCATGAGCGAGAGAGAGAAGGAGAGCGAGGAAGGAAGGGAACGCTTTGACTGGGTGGGTGTGAGATTCTCATGGCATGATAACCTTGAGTAAAAATACCACCTAGAGTTACACAACAAAGATCCAATTCAACTGCTTTTACTTTTACAATAATATTTTATGTGGCTGCTTTAATATTCAACAACATATTCATGATTATAATTATAATAAAGCTATTACATTGGCTTGCTGTCATTTTGAGTTTGATACAAAAGTTTCGGCGATATTAAAACTCAACAACGGGTAAAAATGGTATTGATACAGGTATTTTTTGGATCATATTTGTTACATTGAGTTTTTTCTTGTGTGTTAATATAGTAATAATTAGTGCACTTTTGCAAAATCACAAGGTATATTTTGCATGCTGTAAAATTTACGGCACAATAATCACATGCTGGTTCCCGTTGAATGTGCTCCGTCTTTCTTGTAAGCCATGTAAAACTGGTGACTGTTGGTGGGGTTGCCTTCTTTCAGCCAGCTGACTGGCAGTGCACAGAAACAGGTGGGAATAGGGGAAGTGCTTTAAGCTGCAGGAGCAGGACGCTGGCTTTAAAAAAAAAATAAAGTTTGCGAAAAAGAAGGAAAGAAAAAATACATTTTCATCCAATCATCCCAAATTTCCTTTTGTGTCATATTTGATACGTCAGGCAAATATTGCCAGGAATCTGCAAAAATTTCACAAAACTTTTTCCTTCCATGCAAAATGTGTCAAATATATTTAGCAGTTAGCCCACTTTACATGTTTGACAGAACTTTGCTTTCATTTCAGAGACAGTGAGCCATGACTGGAAATCTTCACATCACAACTTTCTAAGGACAAAGATCTTGGGCGTACCTTGATACCGAAAAGCTGGCACGTGCCTACTGTTTATTTACCTGGCTGGGAGAGGGAGGGAGGTACAAACAAGTACAGAAAGAAGACAGGGTGATAGAAAAGGAGAGAAAGAGGCTGTCACAAAGCATTAGTCAGATGGACTGAGTGTACTCCTGCGCCATGTCAATGAGAAAGCGAGAGAGAACGAGAGCGAGCGAAACGTGAGCGTTTGCATGGTTTGTGTGTGCAATGCATGAGTGCAGACCTTGAAACCAGTTGAGAAGAGGTAAAAGCTTTCTGCATGTGTGTGTGAGAGAGAAAGAGAGAGTAAATCTCCAGACAGTGATGAGGAGGCAGCATGCCCTCATTGTTTAAAACAAAAGATGCCCCTTGTGCTACATAACACATCCAGTGTCTATGTGTGTGCAAAAAAAAAAACATCAATATTGCATTTTCAGCCAAAACACAACAAGACTAGTAAAAAACAAAAAAACAGCATTAAAGGTAAACAAACAGAAGAGGTCAGACAAAATATGATGAGCAGTGGGAATCTTTGCAGTTCCTTCTATATTTCAAGGAACTGTTGCCCACTGGTAAGGTTTTATTTTGAGAGGCATGCTTGGCAGACAGGCAGTCCTTAAAACACAAACACACACTCTTTCTTTCTCTATCTTTCACACACACACACACACACACACACACACACACACACACACACACACACACACACACACACACACACACACCTCGAGGCCAAACTTTAAGGAAAACTCACTTGGGATTGGAGCTGTTCCAGTAAACAGCGTGTCTGTCAAATATGATCTTCTCCTCCGCCCACACGGAGACCCAGGACAGGACGGTCAGCAGCACCAGCTCCATCACACACCTCTGGCCAAGCTGGTACAGCATCACAGCCATCCGGACGGAACCTCTCTCTGATGATGCGGATCGGGCTTGTTTCACTGCGTTGCTGCCGCTGCTGCAGGAATCCTCTGCGCGTCTTTGGCGGTGCGAGGGATCGCTGACTGCTTCGATTGGAGTCCCGATCAGAACCGAGGGTGTTTCAAGTCATAGTGGACGGTTTGAAATGGACTCGGAAACTTCGTCGGCTGCGTTCAGAAGAAGCGGGATTCACATGTTATTTACGAGCGCGTCCGAAAAAAAGAAAAAAAGAACTTTTCTCCCCATTACGCGCGGTCAAGAGCGGTGGATGCGCCACATCGGACCAGATCCCCCCGCCCCCTCGTCCCTCTTCCAGGTCCTTCTCCAAAATTCATCCAAGGATTTGGGATTCTATCAGTGATCTCCCCGCTGCGCGGCGCGAACACGGCAGAATCCGCACATATTTCTCGAGGTGTCTAAGGCCGACGCACGCCAGACAAAATCTGATCCTTTCGCATCCCACGCGGGCGACCTTACTCTCCGTCCAAATTTAAAGCGCAATAAGAACTGCGAGGCGCGAGCATCCTCTCTCAGACTCTCTCACTGCATCCCAAACTTGGTTGATCCCTCCGCCGCCGCCGGCTGCGCTCCAACGTGACTCCGGTAACCTGTGCGTCACGGTGAGGACCAGGTGCGAGCGGGGAGCCCCGTCGGATTCAGTCACAGCTTTAATCCCAACATGCTTCTCTGCGACCTCCACCTATGGCGGCAGTGTTACGCACTGAAACCCTGATTTGGTGTAAAGTAACCCGCTCCATCGCTGTCCTCCCCCCCTCCCCTTCCTCTCTTTCTCTCTCCATCCAGCGCTCGCTTCTCTTTTCAGAGCGGGCGGGGCTTGTGGCCCGCGCTCCCTCTGGGGGCCAGGGGCCGGCTGACTCACTGCGCCTTGGCGATACACAACGGAGAGCGAGTAGAAGTCATTAAACACTCATTAAAAGTTAATTAACGTAAAATGCGCCATAATTACTTTTTTTATTTATTTTGTTCTTCAAATGAGTGGCATTAGCGCTCAAATGGAAACTTATGCCGAATCCCACTATAGACGGTACCGAATCTTATCCAGAACCGGCCTGAGGCACAAACGAACAATGCAGCTACATGGCGCGTCCAATCAAAGAGAAAATAATCATTAATTGCTACAATTACAAACTCAAAACATGCAACAGAAAGACAAGCAATTTTCATAAACCAGTGGTTAAAAAAAGTTTGTTGTGTAGGAAATGTTTTCACGTTCCTTTATGATTAAAAATAATAATAATAAAAAAAGCTTTTCATTAATTTGACATTTGTCATTTTCCAATTTGAAATGGACATTATTTCAAAATTCAGATGCCAGTCACATTTCCTGCCGCTACACCCCCGGATCTGCTTGAGAGGAGGAGGAAGAAGGAGAAGACCTTGTGATGGATCGCCGCAACGGTGGAGTCATTTTTCATTAGAAAAATCAGGGTCCATTAGGGCCCAAATGGCAACCAGACAGGATTGCAAACCTCCTGACGGGTATCAGCGAACTGCGGTGGCCCTTCTTCCCCCCTCCACACACGAGCAGAAAGACCTGGTCCTCAGGACGAGAGCCGGTTTTGTTGCTCTACCCAAAAAACAAGTTTCTCTCACACAGGAAAATAAGAACAGATCAATGGTTAGTCACACAACTTCTACGTGTGCAGGCCTTGTACTAATAAAAATAATTTCCAAGATGTGGTTTATCTTTGGTCTTTTTAAAAAGTATGTCATTACTAGAACTTATCAAACTTATCACTAAGGGTGCCTACCTCCCTGTAGGTGGCAAATATAGAATTAGAAAACACACAAAAACATCAAGGAAATGTGGAAAATCATGAACTGGCTATACGTAGAAAAATGAAGCAAAATACACATTTTTCTTGAGGTTGGCTGACAAATTTTCTTTGAAAATAGTATACAGTTCTGTACAAAGTCACTCCTTTTGGTCTGCTCTAAATGATTGGATGTATTTTAACTTCAAAGACATTTGTCAAAAAAAAAAGTCCTTCATGGTACAAACATTTTTGCACCTCTCCTTGCACCATGCCGCTCAGGGCAGAGAGCCAAGTGGCCCATAGCAAACTCCAGCACCGTCTGCGGCTGCAGGGAACAGATTCCTGTGTTTCTGTGTTTTGGTCGGCCCCCAGCGCCCCCACCTCCATGGAGAGGTGGATGAAGCTGTAAGTGGATTGTTACACGCCGCTTCCGCAGGGTGCACCATGCCGTTTCTAACATGTGTTGACAAGCTGTCTTGCGCAGAATGATCTCCAGCAAAGATCAATTCACTCTCAGCAAGATGAGAATTGATTCAGAGAAACTGTTTGCAGCAAATTCATTTGCATTCTCAATGGGGAAATGACAGTTAAAAAAAATAAAAAAATAAGACTGGCACATTTTACCGTGTTTTAAAAAAAAGTAGCTTATTCTCTTTGCTTTCCATAAACAAACAAAAAAAAAGATTCTTAATTATTACTCCAATCGTCCAACTTTAACCGAACCTTCCTTCAGCTCCAGCTTTCCCACTTTATTTTCCATCTCCGTTAGATCCTTTATGCAAAGTGGCCTACTTTTTCTCCCCTTGCAAAGTAATGCCTATAATTTGGGCCGTGCATATTCTAACAGAGAAAGAGCCCATGCAGCCCCCCACCCACATAACCCAAATACAGCTGCATGCTGTCCGCCTCTGTGCATGAATTATTCAACATCTGTCTGAGGCGTGCATACATAAACAGGTAGATTGTCTCCTGGTGGTTCTTCCTAAATGGAGCCACTATGTACTAAAGACATCCCTTCACCTCGGTGCCTGGCTTTTTCTTCGTCTGTGTCGCTCTGAAAGTGAAACCGAATCTCGTGTGAGCTTGACTAAACAATACAGTTAAGGCAGCGTATTTAAATCTGTGTATACGTCCTCTTTTAAAGGGGATGTCAATCTTAAACCTTACAGCTGTTGAAGACTTTGATTGCTCTGAAACAAGGACACAACATCAAGGATGAATTGTGAATGCAGTTCCAAGCTGCAAACTGAAAAGAAACGAAAAAACAAAAAAAACAATCAATTGTTAGATTTCCGGGTCACACACAGCATTCGATATGGTCTCATCGACTCATCTGGCTGTGGCAGGAACTGATCAGGTCACAACTTGAACCAATTGTTAAGCTTAACCCCACACTCTCCCAAACCCTTTTAATACCTAGCAGGTTCGCATTTGTGTGGCCTTGGGAGTTTTGCTGGTATTTCGTTGATTAGAGACCGCTGGTCTAAGGCAAATAAACGTTTCCAGATGTGGCTGAATTACCATTTCAAGTGGGCTCATTCAGCCGTGCTTGGATGAGAGCAAGGGACCAATCGAGGGTCCAAATTCAGAAGGCACAAAGGAGAAACGGGTGTCTTGAATACCCTTGCTGACCCACACCGATAATCAGCCAGCCAAAAGGCCGCTATGCATTTTTCCTCAAACGCATGACAAAGAAACCGAATGCTTGAAATGTTCCAGTTGAATAATGTCCGTTTTCTGAAAGAATGTCTTCATTAAGCACTTTTTTCCCCCTGTGTGTACTGTGAGACTGCAGCACTTTCACTTAAGTTTCAGGCTGCAGTAGAGCGGCTCGGTCAGCTGACTCAAACAAGGTTACTTCAGACTTCCCTTTCTCACTAAAAGAAAAAAAAAATGACTCAAAGGTTGTTTCCCTCAACTTTCCTGGACTCAATCATGCTGGGTCGAAAATCTTTTATCGCAGTCATGCCAGGGTCACAATCTGTTGAATTTTAAAAACTGCATGTTTTTCTTTTAAATTGTGAAATCAGAAAGCTTCTTTTCCAGGTTATTCAGGACATCAAGGTTTGGTCGTACAAACTCCCTCATTGTACTTCAGTGAGGTGCCTTGAAATAGAGTTCCCACCATTTACTTGTACTTCTGCTTACAATGGATAACGGGAAACAAAATTGTATTATTGGTTATGGAAAAACAAGATGGGAGGAATTCATGGTTTGGACTTTGACCCCCACCCTGATGGAGCTCTGCCTCAGATCACTTTGCAATCAATATTGAAGATAACTTCTTGATGTTGTCAAACTCACATACAGGACTCCAGGTCAAATAATTTGCAAATTTGACTCTTCTGGGGTTGTGACAATCTGTTCTGAGAGACTGTCACAACCCCAGAAATGTATATATTCTCCTGGCTAATCCTATAAATATATTACTGAAAGGAAAATGAACCATCCATTGCCGTTTTAAAACTACAGCAAGAAAGTTAATACATATTTGTAATCAACATTTAGCAGCGGAAATCCTAATAGCCTTTATCGATTTTACGATTATATAATTTTCACGTTCACGTTGTGTCGACGGGGTGATGTCCTGGTAGTTCTACTCAAACCCTGAGAATCTCACACTGAACTACAGGTAAGAAAAGGAAAGGAACCCCTGTATACCAAAGCAAACTTCCCATATTTTATCTGCAGTGAGAATCTAAACTTGAGTTAGTTACACATCCATCTAAAATTATGCAGTCTCTTTGCATTGCAACATATTCCAGAGAGAATTGAGCACGGATTTCTCTCTGCTTCAAATTACTGATGATGCAAGGCGAGAGATGCTCAGAAGTAAACAAGGCTTCGAAGCATCACAGCAGGTTGGTCTGCCTATGGTTTCCCAATTTCTAAATATGCATTTATAGATTTATTTTTAAACAGTTCACATAGGATTCAGGACAATTGAATTTCAAATATTTACATTGGAAATGCTTGTGCTGTAGGACGGTGGACATCCAACTACTTTTGATCGCCATAGAGCTGATCTGTGGCTGTTTTTCTAAATAGTGATTTTCCTTCACGTTTTTCTGGTTTGTCATTTTCTGATGTTTTGTTTTTTTTGACCAAGTACACGGTCTTCAGAACCAAAATCTCAGCGTATTAACTAACATTTTTCAAAGGACTAAACGCCACATGTAACAAATCCTACCTTTGTCCTTCATCAAGGACCACTTGTTCAGCAGATGAATGAGCTCACTGAACTACACACCACTGTATTATGTTGTAAATGACTTGCCACACTGGAGTATAATCTTTTTTTTTTTTTTTACCAACAGTAAATCTGGTTAGTGAGGATGACATGCCATCATTTTGAGCATTAAATCATCAAAACAAATCTAAATTTCTGTACTTTAGGAAATGGTGCCTGAAAACTAATTTTCTATACATTCCCCCTCATTTATTCACTGTTTTCCATTAATAAAAACCTAGATTCCTTTCAGAAGAGGGCCGGGGGGGAAAATAAAACAAACTTAACAGCATTTTGCCATTTAAAGAAATGGCACCAATGCTCCTGCTACAACTGTGATTTTCAAAAGAACTTTGAGCGTGCTGCATTGAACATTTTACTCCACAAGCTGCAGTCTCCTCCTCACCACAAGTGGATCCAGGAATCAAATCTGCTCTTGCTTTATTTTTCTGTAAACGCAGGGAAGAGGGTTAATCCTGCTCACTGCTTTTAAGTCAGTCTAAATAAAGGTGTAGCTCTGGAACGCTTTAGAGATCAATACACCAGCTACTAACATGGTGCATGGCAGGTAAAGTCACCTTTACTTCACAAGCCAAGAACACTTTCATGAACCATGAGCTCCCCCTAGTGGTGGAGGACGCGCACAAGCAATTTGGTTTGTAGGCTTCACTTCATGTCAATAAGGATGCCAGATGTACTTTTACAGCAAGTGTTTCAGATTAATACTCCCATCTCACCAGAAATGTTGACTTTGTTTCCACAGCAACGTTGCCCCATCCGAAAGAGCGAGACACGTAAAACTGAACAGATCAAAGCAAAGAGCAGTGCAGTGGTGGATTATCCATCGTGACGGTTCGGTGGACTGTCAAAAGGATGACGCGGAGTCCAGATGAGCGGTCAGGTCAAGTTTCAGATGGAATGAGCATGAAGTTGGAAATACAGTGAAGGACTTCAAGCACAAACCCACCAGTAGTAAACAGGATGTGGAATATAGAAAATGTTACAGAATTGTTAACCGGCACAGATCGGCAGCGTAACAGGAAAGCAAAAGAGACAGAAACCAAATGAGGCCAGATGAAAGAAGGAACAAACTAAAGATTTATTAAAGGCGGCAGAAGATGCAAGAAACAAGAATGGCCAAATAAAAAAATAAAAAAAGGGGGGCAGGGGGTAGTGGAGGGGCAGGTGGGGCACATACAGAGACACTTCTGTGTTCAGATAGTTTAATGTCTTTGTGTTACAAAAGTTTTTTTTTTTTCTTCGTTGTTTTCCAGCTCAGGCGAGCTTAATATGTCTTCACGGTTTATCAAAATATACATGTTTTGAACTTAAAGTGAATATAATCCAAATTATTTTGTGGTACAAAAACATGAATATATACAATCATGAACCCCGCTTCATACATTTGACCCCAACCCGCCCCCTTATAAAAAGAAACATAAAAGAGTTTAAACAAAAAGTAAAAGGCATATAATCTTCTACACTGTTAACATCACAGCTAAGACTGTGTTCAACAAAGTATCCATTCTAAAGCCATCCCTGCCAAAGCAGGCTCTTTGTAAAGTGAAAACATACAGTGTAAGCCGTCACCTTGGAGACGTCTGAACTGAATCCTTGTGGTCTTGCAAAACAGCAGGAATGTGTGTATAAGAAAAAAAAAATAAAAAAGGGTTCAGACGCTACAAAATAGCAGGGGCAAAACACACTTTGGTCCTCAACAGCAAAAAAAAAAACAAACCAAAAAACCGTCTGCAGCTACATGAAGCTTTGAGTCATGCATACGAATCTTTTACAAAAATAGAAAGGGAAATCTTTTACTGGTCCAAAACTACGGAGGTCGGGGGTTTTGTTGGAAAACCGGTGCTTGAGGCACGCAGGAATGAGAGATTGTTTAAGACTTCAGCGTGATGGTGCCTGTTTGGACTTTAACTGTAAGGAAAAGTGCACAAACTGACTGTGGCTTAAGTAGACACAGACAGGGATCGAGGCAGGGCTTCCCAACCTTCTGGTTTGCTGAAGTTACAGAATATATACTGGTTGGATTAAAAAAAAAAAAAAAATCGTATTAAACGCAGCCTAAGACTGTCATTCATAAACGTGCGAATGCCTCCGAGCTGCCCTCTGTCATTGTTTGAAAAGGCATCTCTGCAGCCAAGTATGATACGAGATCTGAAAGAGAGGTAAACAAAGTCCACTGACCAGGCTTGCTTCAGCATTGGAATAAAAACGCAAAGGGACAAGGCACTCCACTAGCTCAGCTACTGTAAGCACAAGTCAGTTCAATTTAGGCAAAAGTACATGTAAATCTACTCTTAAAAAGAAAAGATAAATGAATATATAGTTTTACACGCATATATACTTATATATATATGTATATATATGAATGTAACCTGGTTAAATGAGGCCCCGAAACCCACTAAATGGAAGTGACAGGGGGCTGTAAGACTGAAAAGCTGAATCCAGCTCTACATCAGCAACAACACGCCTAAACAGAGCTATATCACCTAAACAAAAACAAGGGATTTAGCATCTAACCGACTTACATTCATAGATTCTAGATACGTATGATGGGGCTATATGGATACAAAAGATAAAGAATTGTACTTTTAAGAAGAAAGGAGATTAAATGAGCCGCTTTCCCCTTCTTAAACAATCCTGGTAAATACCAGAAAAGAAGCCAGCGCAGTCTGGCTTGGGGCAAAGTAAGGCACAAGGTTACAAACATTAAAAAGAAGAAAAAGAAAGGGTCATGACAGAATAACTTTTGATAGTGGTCTGGGTCCTCAGAAGGAAAAAGGAGGGTAGACGCAACATAAAAAGTAAAGATGGATGAGCGCATGTGTCAAACAAAACAAAACAAAAAAAAAAAAACGATGTCTTCATCTTAAACCGTTCCTCACTGGCCAAACAGGATTAAAGTGGCTATTTTTTTTTTCGTCCCCAAAACAGTGAACATTTTCACACAACCAGAAGAGAGAAAGGAATGCTGAAGTGGGTCGGGTACAATTCATCTGGATGCGTATAACGGTAGACCGTCTTATGGTCAAAATGTAAAGTTGGTTAGACGGCTCTACATTGCCTCCCAATACAAAAGTGTTTTGGTTACAAAATGTTGCCCATTTCAGAAATCCTAAAATTTTGTCAAAAGAAAAGCGATGATTGGGTTTTGCTGTTGAATTTAGTGTATAAATAAAATTAAAGAAAAGAGGAGAAAAAAAAGGAACTAAAACTGAGCAAATTACCCAAGAAACGCTAACATTTTCTAATCATATCAAAGAAGAATGTAAACGAGCCAGCCCAACTAAAGACGCTAATTTGTGCGTGGCAAGAGGGAACATCATTATCCATCTATTATGTTTTTGGAATATCTTTACTTGACAGCAAATCACATAAAATATCTGCTGCATTAGGACAGAAGAATCAAAATGATATAGATCAAATCTGAAATCTAAACTAAACCTAACGAGAAAAAAAAAAAAAAAAAGCAATAAATGGGCAACACCCTTATGGAAAAATAAACAGTATAAATATGTTACGAAAGCCATTTCCACTGAAGGCAACATTGAGAACAGTGGCATTCAGATGGAAGGGAAAGGTGCAAGGAAAGGCACTCAGATGGTGGATTTTGAGAAGGACACTCGGAGGTGATGGTTCTCTCCCAGATCATGGTTGTGGAACTCAATGAGGCACTCGATCGCCTCTTCGACTGAGCCCATCTGGATCAGGGCCATCTTGCGGTCCTTTCTGTTCAATGACAAACAGACATTTTCTCAAAACGATGCCATGTCCAACAGTGTGACTGCTACAATAGTTTCAGCTTCAGTTGGCTGAATTGTACAGAAAAGAGATGGTTTCAACTTTAATAATTTCGGAAACCTGCAACTTACTGAAAGAACTTGAAGGCTTTGACTGTGGCTCCTGAGCTTGCAAAGAGTCTTTTGAGATCATCCTCCATCACAGAAGGCCTGAATCACACACATGGATGGGAAAATGAAGATTACTAAAAACCAATTTGGGTCGAAGGTTTATCTGACCATTGAGCATTTCGGAGCTGATTTTAAACAACAATCAAATGATGGAGACACTCACGGTATGTTGGAGAGGTGGAGTGTTGCAGACGGTGGGAAGATGTTTGAGTAATTTTTGGAGCCGGGCTTCTTGAAGCGATGAAGCGGCGAGTTGCTGAAATCCTTTGTGAGGCCCTGGTCCTCATGGCCTTCTCTGGGCAGCTGAACTGTCGTGTGCTTCGACAACGTCACGCGCATGGCCCTGCCATGGAGACGCTGGCCATTCAGGTGGCTCATGGCTGAAAAGGGCAGCAAAGTCAGCATCTTATTTTTCATATCAACAACTCATAATAGCTCTCGCAAATAAAATTCCTCGGTCGTTTTCCTTTTTTGCTCCCAAGAAGAAAATGTTTATAATTTTGGTCCAGGTACTAATTAGTCCTTCAAAAAAAATAAGGCATTTTCTGGTTTGATATACAATTTTAAAAAAGTTCCAGCTGAAGTTGTTTATCTGCTTCATAAATGTGCTGTTTTGAACATCATAACATTTAAATGATTAGAGTTTTGGCTGCTTTCTGCACAACTCTCCCCACATGTCAAAGAATGGAAGCAGAAGGAGGCATTACAGTCTCTCTCACTGAAGTTGACTGCAAAGTGTATAAAATACTAATTAATATGTTTTATCTATACACATGAACAGAATAAAATTGTCAAAGCTGCACTGCTTGCTGGGACTGTGGCAGACTTTACATTTCAGTAGAATAAAAAGTATTAGAAGAAGATGACATGATTAACACCAGGCTTCTCAAAAGCTTTACCTGGGAATCATCTTAAATAAGACAACAATGTAAGATTTGAACTGAACAAAAACATTTTACAACCTTATATAAGGACACCCACAGAATCCCAAAAAGCAAGGACAAAACAATACATGAAAAAAGGGAGGAACGCTATTAGCAAGATTAAAGATGGAGATCAAAGAGAAAATTGCATGTTGTCTGGCTTACCTAACTGAGCCTGTGTGCCATCAGACATCTGGACAAGAGCGTTCTCCTTTTTATTAAACAAGATCTTCACTCTCATGACATCACCGTACACACCTATGGAGAAAACAGTGTGTCACAACACCAGCGCAATAAGGACAACATACAACTTAGTATTAAAAAGGAGCCACACAGCCAATCACAGCAACAAAAACTGCCTAAGCTATTAAATCTGATCTGAATACAGTTCTGCTACATTAATCTGCACTTGTGTTTGCACACACTATTAATATTCTGCTTTATTTTGCAAACTAAACCTAGTCAAGTACTCCAGAGGCAATTTCAAAGAAGACTATTACATCTTTAAAAGGAAGAGGCAGTGATTTCAGGACAAATCAGTAAGAGTTGTAAAATGAGTAGTTTTGATCAATTTGATCAGGCAGGAAAAGTTGATTATTTGGCCAACTGGAGGCCTAAGCAGAAACATGCAGAAATTAACTACACATGCACATACCCTAAATAACTTTGACAAGAAAAAAAAAAAAAAAACAACACTAGAGACAAACTGAGATATATGTTAACTCTGGAAGCAAAAAGCAGCAGCATTTCATCTTTTTAGTGCACTCAAGAACGGCCAAAATGTAGATTAAAAAAAAAATCCTTAGTCTGTGGGCCACAAAACTAGACTTTGATTTTTTTTTTTTTTTTGCAGACACTGCACTGCTCCAGAATCAGCTATGTTTTAACCTACATTCACCAACCTTAAACCTTTGCAAATTTAATTGAACTGATAAAATAATCCCCATTTTTCTTTTTAAGTCAGGCAACAAACAAACAATAAAAAAAGATTCTGCTCTTTGAAGATTAAACAACAACAAAAAAAAAAGCTAATGTTTCTTGCCCGAGGTCATTAAATCAAGACATTTAAAAACTAAATGAAATGCTGCAGCTTAATGTGACATCCCACCTTACTTTTCCTCACACAACCCCACAACAACCAAACCATTCAAACCCCCAAAAACAGACACCCCCACCCTTAACCGCTCTGCAGCCTGATGACGAACCATCAGTGGTTAAAAAAAACAACAAAAAAAAAAGTAAAATGAACAAAGCCAACATGAAACAAGAAAGGATGATAACGTACCGAAAAGAATAAAGAGGCAGTGTGGCGTAACGGTCTTTAGAGACAGCAGGGGGAGGGAGCAGCAGGGGGAGGGAGGGGCCAAAAGGGGAGAGGGGAAAGGGGAAAAGAGGCGGAGGACAGTGGAGTGGAGTCGGGACATGTCCGCAGGCGGCGAGGTCCACAGGAAGGCCACAGTACCATGGAGGAAGGAGAGGCATGAGAATGATGGAAGACAAAGTTTGAATTGAAAGATGAGGGAGTGAAGAGAAGAAGTGATGGGGGGAGGGTGGTAAAAAAAAAAAAAAAAAAAAATCATGGGTGCCAAGGATGCGTTTTCAATTTGTGGGTCACATCAAAATTGGGCACAATGTAAGGAGGGGAGAAAGGGTTGGGTAGATGGAGGAGTAGTAACAGGGAGGTGCCAGAAGGGAGGAGGACAGAGGGGAACAATTGGTCATGGGGCGTGCAGTCAGTCAGTTGGCAAGATATGGGGTGAGAGAGGATGTGGAGGGGGGGAGGGGGTTAAAAAAAAAAAAAAAGATGGAGAAGGGGACAGAAAAAAAAGAGAGAAAAAGGTAAAATGAAAAAAAAAGAAAAACAAGGTCAGTATACACAAAGAAATGTAGTGCTTCAGACAGTAGAACTGGCTAAATTAAAATGCACTTTCACTATGGGAACACTAGAAGAAAAAGAAGAGAAAAAAAAGATTAACAATGAAATACAGAAAAAAGGCAGAGACAATATATACTTTTGTAACACTATGCTTTTTTTAATGATTTAATGATTAAAATAAAGCTAAAATCTGCAAATTCTAAATGTTCATCTCTAAATTTACATGGTTCACATAAAGATGCAGCCACAGTATTCGCACTGAGCATGACAGACTATGCTACACATTATACAATAACACTTAAAAAGTAATATTGTCTCTCCAACAACTTAAGAATGATTTTAACTAATGGATAAAAAAATGAAGATGTGAAATGTTAAGTATTTACTTTCTTTTTTTTTTTTTTAAAGAAGTTAGTTTTCAAACAAACTTAAAAATTCAGTGAGCAAAGTGGCAGGTCAGAAACACAGCAGGTTTGGTCAAACACAAAGAAGTCCTGAAAGAAAGGCGCTTTTGACTATAAAAACAACAGCAGTTTAACTTTTGTTGATATGAGGAAGAAAGCGTCAAACAGAATAGTTTGTCCTGAGCAAGTGGGTTCAAGATCACAAAATGAATTGCAATGTTTCATTTAGCCACAGTAACTGATGCTTTCAGGTCTAATGAGGGTACTGACCTCAGGGTTCAGGTTGCTGACCAGCAACACGTTGTGTCCCCCAGTGGCAGTGAGCCCTGATAGGCCAAGCCGGTTGGCTGCGGCCGCTGCAGCAGCCGCCATGCCGGAGTGACCCATGCCCAGGGATGCCAAGGCACCGGGAATGCCAGGAACTGACAGTCCTTTGGATAGGAAAATAGAAATTACTTCCAATTTAATTCCCTTTGACAAGAAATAATACAAAATGCACCTCAACATAATCCTCATTTCCAGGCACATACTTATTTCATTTATTCATATCATACTCAGGTTGAATTTAAATTACTTATAATCACACGTATGTATACATTTTCCATATTACTTAGAATTATGTTCGGATTTGGTCAAATTAAACACTTCAGATGAAACAGCTTGTCAACAAATGGGCAATTTCCTCTTGGGAATCATTAAAGTATAACTCACAAAAACAGTTTAGTTTAAATATCATTTGTGGCATCAAGAAATCTGACTTTTATGCATTACCAAATGCACAAAGCCACACAATTAACATTTAAACAAAGCAAATGCATAAAAAAAACCCAATATTTATTACACCAGTACACAATCAGTTAAATTAATTCAATTCAGTCTATGAAACTGTCACAAAATGTCACCAAAATCACTGTCCCTCTAAAATCTTTCAGAAAATGTTCAATATGTATCAAATGATATCGTTTGCTGAATATTGTGACATGAGCAGAATATCATGCAATGTATTGTATTGTGAGATTAGTGTATGGCTACAGGCCTACCAGCTTGCTGGATGGCAAACGTTGGGGGGAAGGCATGCGCTCCACCAAATGGCGAGGCTGAGATTATACCTGGAGCAGCTGGATGACAAGCAAAGAAAATAAAAATACAGCAAATTTCACCACTAAATTCAAAGTTCAAAATACGCAACTAAAAAAAAAAATACACATTTATATATTTGAAAAATAACAGAAGTGAAACGTGTAATACCTGGTAATATTTCAAGCCTTTATCTGGTGTCAGTTTGGTAATTATGGTTTACAGATAATAAAAATCCAGAATTCAGTCTCTGAAGATTAGATTACATGAGATCAATAAAAATGTAGATATTTTAAAGCAGAAATGGCTCCTTTAGCATTAATACAACATGGCATTGAGGCAATTAGCCTGTGAAACCTACGCAGTGTCATAGGTTGAAAGCTCATCTCGTCTTTCCACTTCCTCCAGACCAAGAATGATTTTTTTTATAGTCTGAAAGCCATAACGATAAATATATAAAATAAAGAAAAAAGGCTTGAAATATTTCACTATCTTTGATAAAACAATGTGTTTAACTCTTTAATGAGTGACAAAAACTATTAAACCTTTTCACAACAAAGCAAATGAAAAAATAAAAAAGATCTTACTAAACGCAGCAGCCATGGTCTGGTGGTCAAGTGAGGGCTGGGAATCTGCTGTAGGAAGGTCAGGGCGGGTGTAGTCCCTGCTTTTGTCGTTGTTATACTTAACGTTGAGGCTAGTGAGCTTGGAGAAGCTGATTCTCAGGGTACAGCAAGCATTGTAGATGTTCTGGCCGTCTAGAGACTAAACACAAAAAAACCGTCTCTAGATCATTAGTAAATGTTCCATAATAACACTAGTTCACTTTAGACTGGTTTTAGCAAGGACAGCTCAAATAAAGTACCTAGTGATGTGTGAACCAATGGTGTCAAACCAGTCTTACCAGTTTAGCATGCTGAGCTGTCATGGCGTCAGCATACTGGATCAATGCCTGGAATTGATTGTTCTTGGTGAAAGTGATGATCTTCAGCACGGTTCCAAACTTTGAAAAAATCTGTAAAGGAAGAGCTACAGTTGGATGCCATTTTTCACCACGCTTAAAAAAAATACTACTGCAAAGGTCCTATAAGACAAACAATCTGGATTTAAGATGAAACCTTTCACTACTGACACAATGCTTCAGTTACAGATTACATCTCAGACTTAACCAGAGAGAAACAAGACAAAGCGAATAAATAAATTAAATATTTAGGTGTATTATCAGCAGTGGAGTTGGTGATAGTCTTCCTATGTACAAGTTAGTGTAATCAAAATCTGTCTTTGTTTATCCCAGGCATCACAAAAATGTAGTCAGCCAATGTTACACACCATCCGCAGCAGTTGCAAACATTGAAAAAAAAAAAAAAAAAAAAAAAAAAAATGGATTTTCAATTTTTTTTTTTTACAAATAGTGATCAGAAAATGCGCATTAGCACAAATTAAACTGAGTGAATATAAGTTGATCAAATCCAATTAATCAGACTTTCTAAACGTTGTCCGCAACTATCCCAAAAACCTAAAACCTGATCTCTTCCCATTGCCACAGTGGAACTACCTGATGCAGGACATCCAGGGTGACGGGGTAGAAAAGGTTTTCCACAATCACTCTGAGCACAGGGCTCTGGGCTGTGGCTCCAGCCAGGCTGCTTGCATCTGTGGGGATGGCCATGCTTCCCATTCCACCGCCATGCAGGGCATTGACTGCCTGCAGAGCTGCCTGGGCACGCTGAAGAAACAGAGATTATCTCACGTTAACCATTCAGAAGCAAAGAGTACAACAAAAAGCCAGGTGTTCAAAATACTAAAATGACTTTTAATGTAAATATAATTTTTGCTTTCTTCTCTCTTAAAACAATTTAAAAATATGAAACATCATCCCAAATCGCTGGGTAACATAAATGAGTCAGTTTGTATCGCTTTTGTATCTTTGAATGATTTATTTTCGTACACCTATTCTGTTGCAACATCAGTTATTTTAACAACTCTACAAACAGCCAAAAAGATCAAATTCTTACCACTTGGTTGGGAGAGTTGTCCGTCTTGAGCTCCTTATGAGTCGAGTACTGCATGTAGATGGGATGATTTCTGATGACAGGTGTGACAGAAGAGTAGTAGCTCACCATCGTCTGTGCACACTCTTCACTGTTAAGCTCCAGAAAGGCCTGCAGAGGGAGCACCGGATAAATACGCTACAACACAATGTTGTCAAAGTGAAGCACTTTTAACTGGAACTGAAAATGGCTGTAAATAAAAGCCATTTACGTAAAAGTAAGGGGATCTAAGCTCTTCCCGTAGGAATTCCTAACAATGAGCATTGTTTGACCACAAAGGCACGAGAGTGCAACAAAAGAACGATTGTTAGAATTTTAGGTCAGTATAGGAAGCTGATCTCTGAGGCCCAGCTTTGCAGATGAACCTTCATTATAAGAAAAGTGAAAACCTCATAGGTTTTGCTAGAGAGTGGCATGTACTTCTCCTTACCTGGTTTTTCCCTTTCAACATCAGCAAATTAGTGACCTTCCCAAAGGGCAGTCCCAGGCTTATAACCTCGGCTTCGTTGATGTCATTGGGCAGCTTGCGTACGTGGACCACACGTGACGGGACTCCAGGACTGCGGACATCACCTTTGAATTTTTTGCTGTCGTTGCCATTGGCTGCAGGAGAAAACAAGAGGCTGATACAATCAGAGAGGGAACATAAGGCTCTGGTTCTTTGTGAATAATGGATCGAGCGTCATGGCAACACAAACAAGACGGACACTGAGCACCTCAATAAAAAAGAAAACCCTTCATAGCAACCCCCCTACCTGAGTTCATGATATAGGGTCCGTTGGATATGCAGGAAGAAAAGAGTTCGTCGGATCCCCTCTGCAACAGGAAAACGATATAAATAAAGGCTTATTTCTGTGTGTTCAGCAATAAAGGCACAGCATGGCAGGTGAGGAGCACAGTTCTCATATTACTTTGCAATTGAGTGATAACCGCGGCAGTAATGTGATAACCAAAAGAAGCAGCTTCAAAGAAAAGCCACTCTTTTCACTGGAAATAATTCTGTTGCTAAACTTGTCAGGTAACAGAGCTGAGTTCTCGTCTCACTTTATTCTTCCAGACTAGAGTTATTAACTCTAATTAGTTAATAAACTAAATAAACATAATTGACCTACATACGCACACACACACAAAAAAAAAAAAAACACACTGATGGAACATAATAGTGGAAGCATCAAGCTGTATGAATGCTTTTTAATCAGCAAGAATGTGTGAGTTGTTCAGATGAGACCTAAATTCAAGACGATCCTGGAGGAACACCAGCAAAAGAATCGATACAGGGTGAAGGTTAACCTTCAAATAGATCAACAGTCCCAAACATGCAGCCAATGCTACAAAGTAACCATTTGGATAAAAAAAAATAAAAAATAACATTCACATGCTTAAAAGAACCAAAGTCCAAAACTTAAATCCAACTGGAAATCAGTGGCAAAAGCGAAAAATTGCACTAAACTGCTCTTCACAAGCAGCAGCGTCAACACAGAAACACATTTATAAGCAAGGCAACATGGAAACCATCCCAGTAAAACCAGTTTGCTGTGTGCCTTGTTCAAGCTTTCCTTAGGAGATATAAAGTGCTGTTTCTGGGCTGTTTCTATGGCTCAGTGTATTGCGAGCTGAGCAAGATGAAGTATAGAAGTCACAAGAAGTGGCTCAGCAGTCTAAGCTCTACATCGGCCCACAATGGACGTCCTGTTCAGGCTGAGACTAGGGGCATTGTTACCGAGCCGTGCACACATATGGAGCCGCAAGGAGACTCTAGTATTTGAAGAGCCCAGAGCTCTTTACCAGAAACCACCAAAAACAGGTTTGTTAGCATTCTTGCTTGCCTTGCGCTTCTAAATAGGACAGGGTGTGGGAATGAGCGGAGTAAAAGTTTGAGAGAGACGCTCTAAACACTGCAGAAGGGAAAGGCAGGGCCCACGGCTGTAAACAGTTATTACTGCTCATAGTCTCGCAGGTGTTTTGACTATGAGAGTGTGACAGAAATCAATAGTGCCCACAATCACTCCCAACATGTAGCAAGAATATACTAATTTTGAGAATCATTTGAAACATTTAGGTTTTTATAACACCACTCACTTAATTATGAAGTAGTGACCAACTAATCCTTTAAAACACAATGTATATTACCTCATATAATAAGCACAATAATGAATGTTAGATGAGTCACCATGAAGCTCAAAATAATTATGGATGAAACAATAAGCAACATACAGTGATAATTGGGACAGAGTCTAAGCTCTGGTACCAAAGTCCCTACTACATAATAAAATATAATAAATATCCAGCGATACAGATAGCTGACAGGAGGAACTGTAAAAATAAATTAGCAAAATCTTCATAGGTCAAGGGCAGACGGAGAGAAAGAGAGATGCATTGTGAGAATGCTGCCTATCTTTATCAGTCAGCAGTCTTGCTACAAACAGGAAGAGCTGAAATCAGGTTTGGTTCCAGGGTTTGCTCAACTTCCTGTATGGTCAGTAGGCTGGACTCTTTCACCCTTTACTTCCCAAATTCAGTAAGAGCAGTGGAGCATCAACTTTAGACAAACTGACAGCTTTCACTGTGTAATGAAAAAAAGAACAGTTTTTGAACAGAATGTGGGAGAAACGATATGGTCATCAAGGGAAAAAAAAGAGTTTAGATTATGCAATTCTTACTGCAGTTTCAAAGCCATTTCCTCTAAAGACAGCTAAATGCGCCTCAGCTTGTTTGCTGGTGGATGACTAAGACTATAATTGCAACCTGAAAAGTTAACACTGGCTCATATCCGAAAACTGCAGAGCTGCTTCTTTTCAGTCACAAAAGCTATGAATCAAATTTCCTTCTCTCCTAGATTTTCCTGTAAAATTTGGGGAAACTGTATTATCAAAAAGGATTTGATGCAGCATTAGCTGCTGAAAGAAAGCATATTAGGAGTTCTAGTAAGAAGCCGTAGAACAAGATCTCACAGGAAAGAACAAAGGAGAACAAAAGTACAGGTAGAGACATGTTTTCACCAAGATCAGATGAGGATCTACCAGACGAGGGGGGGAGGGCGCTGAGCCTCAATGGGGGGCTGCAAAGGGGGAGATCGGAATGTGACCACAGGATGCCAGACCTTCTGCCCAGACAGAATAATTACAGATTCCAGCTAGGCAAGGCTCCATAACTCAGCATCATCATTACCGCAACAAAAAACAAAAAAAGGACCAAGCTAGCCAGTAGCATTTAACCTCCAATTCAAACTAGTACGGATTTCAAAAAGTAAAAAGGTGCATCACGACTCAAAATAGAAACCAATAGTTATTAGTGGAATGAATAGGCCGCGGGGTGTGTCACTGTAACAGACACATGCAGCAGAGATCTTGTTTAAACATTGTAAAGACCTTTGGCCGTGAGGCTGAGCGCTGTTGTGGGAGGATGGTTATGGCTCCGAGTTACGATCAATTAGTCCACCTACACATGTCTCTCCCTGGCACTGTTACCAAGGATTACTGTTTAAGAAGGAATTTTTATAGGGTGAAAACATTAATGAATAAGAGTCGAGCTGAAACACCAACTTGTTTGTCTCCAACTGGCCCAATAAATAGTTGCAGAGGGCCCGTTACCTACATCAGTGAAAAATTTCCCCACATTTTTTCCCCCTACAAGTCTTGTACAAATTAGCTTTTTTTAGCTTAGTTTTTTTTTTTTTTTTTAACAATGGTTTTCAAAAACATCATCTGGCTTAATTCAGGCTTCTTAGCATTCCAGAAAGGCCCAGAGACCACACGAAATAACAAACAGGAAGTGTCATTTCCACAGCCACATATGCAAACAAGCACAGCACAGGAAAACAAGGAGCTCCACCTCTTTGTGAAAAAAAAGACCTTTATCCAAATTATCACACATTCAGCATTCGCTGTCCGGAGTGCAATTGGCCGACATGCTGAGAGCTCAGACGTACGAAATAAATGTTTCATTAAGTCTGGTTTGGCAACGGCAAACCTGTGACACATGAGCAACCGGTTTACACAACCGCCCTAAAAATAGAGAAAGCTCAGGAGAACTAAGTTTGCATGACTAAGACCGAATACATCCAGAATTTTTCATTTCCTCTCAGGCTACAACATTTAAAAAAAAAAAAGAAAGAAAGCTTGAACTCAATTTGTTCCTTTGCCAATTATTACCCATGGGTTCTCATTTCCCATCTTCTTACTTTCATGTTGTTCCCATATACTTACCCCATAATGCATCAGTCTGATTTTCTTTGTGCATAATTTTCTGATAATTGACGTATTGGAAAAAAAATGTTATGGGGTTGAAATCCCCCGTTTATCCCAGTTGACTTGTAAAATAAGAAAAATTATGTTTTTCTATTTCCCTTTCAAATTACAGCAGCAGCAGACTAAAACATCAATTGCTCCACTTCAAGCGTAATCCTGGCCTTCTGGTGCTTTTATATATGCAAAATATTGTTCAACGCTAAAACAACAGTCAAAAAGTCTATATTAAGCATTTGAAATGAAACTCAGAAGTGGCCTACCTTTGTGCCAACTGATATGTCATGGACACTGCTGTAAAAGTCAAAAGGAAATCCGCAGTTATTCACAGCTGAATAAACAAATCGATCAGTTTTTGCAAAGAACACCAAGCTTTTATAAAAGTAGGTGAAGCGACTCAAAGTACAGGACAGAAATCAAACACCAGACGAGCAACAATGTAACAAAAATAATTTTTTTTTTTTTTAAACTCACTCAATTTCAGGGACGTAGCCGGATCCCAGAGGGTACAACTCAGTGGCGTCTAGGCGGCTACAGCGGATTGAAAACACAAATACGAGCAAAACTTCAGAGTGGAAAATTCACACGAGTTAACAATGACGCGGAAAGTCGATCAAGTTGCTCTTCGCTGCGCAAAGCTTCTCGGTCTCCCTTTATCGAAATCAGTTAACCAAACGAGCAGAACACGGTTGAGCTGAACAATACGCTATTATTCATCCTACCCTGCCCGGATAAGATAACTTGATTAAATCAACGTGAAATGTTTGAGGCCAGGCATTTTCAACATGGCCCTGAAACTCCGCGGATAAAATGAATGCGGAAATGAGACACGTTGCTTTAGCTAACCTCTCGAGTTCCCGTAAAAACCCAAGTTACAAAGGTACAGTTAGCCGACGTGAACTGCCCAGGCTGTGCGAGAAAAACAGAAGCTCTCGGTCAAAATGATGTAAAAAGACATATATAAAGGTTTTTCTAACATTAAGTCGTCTTTTCAGCTATATAACTGTATATAGAGGGTGATAAAAATAACTAAAAACTACCAACTTTACTAACGGATAGCTGTGACGCTAGCACTAGCTAGTTAGCGCTTCCTCCTGCTAACTGTTGCATGTTTTGAAGAGGAAAAAAAAAGTGATTCGAGTAAAGTTTTACAGCTCCACTGGCTAAACAGCGGTAACCCGAGAAGTCAAAACACTTAACGAAAGCCCAAACATAACACGCTCAGTCGCTTCCCGAACAGTTTGGTGTAAAAATGTAAGTCTTTAAGTGAGCTTCTTTTCACTTACCCGTCCATTGCACAAGAAAAAAACTGCAGGTCTGAAGCGAAGGTAGGGCGGCAGACTTGCTTGATTTTCTTACAAAATGGCTGAACTCTCGGAGGCGAGCGCTGATTAGTCCAGGCGGCTCCAGGAGCCAAAAGTGGGAGGGGACAGACTTCAACGCGAGCGCTGATTGGACAAGACGACCATCATTTTTTTGAAAAAAAAAAGAAGAAAAAAAAAAGAAGGGGGCCGCGGCAAATTTCCAGCAGGATATATCAAGTGCTCGGGGTTTTGTTTGAGTCCAGAGTCATGGAAAACTCACTATCCTCGAGCATGTGACTCCGAGTGCAGGGGATCGAAAAGACTCAATCAAACAAAAGGCACCTGGAGGGAACATACATTGCCTTAACTTTTTCCGTATTTATGTGTTTACATAATAGTCCAATGCCCTTTTTGACAGCAAAGTGAAAAGGAAATTAGTGGTTTACATTTTTGATTTACAAATAAAAATCTAAAAATTGATTCTGTTCTGCGCCATGGTTGAAACTACCAATTAGGTTAAGGTCTGAATTTCATCTGGGCCATGCTTCAACACTGAGAGCTAAGAAATACGCTTGTTAATATCTTGATGTGCTCCCAGTGTTTAAAGCATTTATCAATTCAATTTAAATCTACGATTAGAGCTGACAAATGCACAGTCTTAATATTTGAAGCTAGTTCATCTAATCTGGTGTCGTAAGCCTCCACTTGTAATGGAAATCAACAAAAGAACTGTAAAGGTCACCTGGCACACCCTGGAGACCAATTCAAACTCACAGAGGGGTTCAAGAAGGATTACATGACACTGTGAGTGGGGATCAGCACAGGTCTGGGTGGGGCTCGAGGGGGTGATGAGAGAACACAGTGTCAGGTCATGAATGAGTTTGTTCTTTTTTTTTTGTTTGTTTGCTTGTTTTTTTTTCCTTTTACCAACTTCTTAAACATGAGAAATACAGACGAATAGGACAGCTCTGAAACATTTAAGCATATTTTCAAAAATATGCAGCAACAGTCCTGTTTGGATTCCAAGTGATTATGAGTTATTGAGGACTCAGTGTGACTGTAAAATTATTATGCTTTGCAAAGTTTTAAAACAACATTCTGCAACTTTGTTTTCACCTCAAAATTCAGTGTATTGAAGTGTAAAGTGGAATGGAAATGATACACTGTTCTTTACAGAATAATCTAACAAATGTGGTAAATTTATTTAGCCTATTTTCCTTTAGAAGTGTTGGAATTACTAAATACAGTTCATCTGTTCTGTGGAAGCCTATAATGAGGTTGTTAATGAATATTAGTGAATAACTTCATGAAGCCCAAGGAACATGGCAGGCAGTTTAAGAATAATGTTATGCAAGGTTGGGTTATACAACAACATCCTAGGCTCTTCTAAAAAAATAAATAAATAAATAAAAAAAATTTACAGAGCAAAATTTAATCCAACGTCCAAAAATGGAAATGTCACGGCACAACTGTAAAACAACCAAGACATGGATGTTACTTTGTCGAATAGCATTACTGAGAGAAAGATCTGGACGGATCCACATCCACAGCTCAGTTGGGGAAATGTGTTGAATGAAAGCGGACTTTTTACAAATCCGGTCTTCACAGGAAAGTGAGAAGAAGACAACCATTGTTGAAAAAAAATAAATAAATAAAACAGAACACGTCCTGTTCACTGTAGGTCACATTCAGAGTTTATGGAAAGATGGATGGAACTAAATAACATAGCCGTCCTGGGAAAAAAACAAAAAAACATTTTAGAGTCTGCTTTTCTTTCCGCTTTAAAGCTGTACGTCGCTTTGTGTTGGGTATGTAAAATAACACTCAAACATTTTTATAGTGTTAACATGAAAAATGCAATAATAATAATAACAGCACTCCATTACAAGGTGCACTGCAGTATTGTGACATTGTGAATTCTTTGGACATTATCTGATAGACTGCTTATAGAATTTTACAACTATAGAAATCGACATGTAGCAAATGCACTGTGGTAGTGTCTCCCAATATACTACCACATGCTATATAAAGTAACTGCTATCTCTTTTTATTTTTTATCAATTCATCAAAAGCATTTGACAATGCAGAACCAACATCACTAAAACAGAGATTGGCTTTTCTGATCATGGTTTTTGCTCATTTAATAATGATCTTTCTCACAGAACACAGTTCTGTGTAGAAGCAGTTTCTCACTTACCGTAGCTTGTGATGTTCCTCAAGGACTCATTTTGAGATGACTTCTTCTCCTCAGATGTATTGAGAGTATTGCTAGAAATACGACAATTGCAAACTTTTCATTTTGTGGTACTGACAGAGTAATGTCTCCTCTCAGTCGGTTGCTTTTGCTTTCTCAACGCGTTCTCTTTGCTCATACTCTTTTGAGGCTGAATTAGTGATAAATCCTAATTCAGTCCAAGCTTGTTGACACTGCTGAAATAGCTGTTGTTGAAATGGGACACATGGGCAGCTGCTCCCAGAGTGGCATTAGAAATAGGTCACAACAGCATCAGATGAAAAGAAAAGACTTGTCTGTCCGTTGTGCCTTGAACAAGTTTTGTATTAGTTCTCTGCGTGTCCACGGGGATCAACATGAGTCCATGTGGGAGTTAGCGCTTGTTTCTTTCCGCTGAGAACACAGAGAACAGGGAGGATATTTTAAGAGCTGCATTTTGGACTAAACTTGTTCCTGCCAAAGACTTTCAATATTTTCCTGCATTGTGATTGGCTGAGCTTGCCTATTCCTGCAGCAGCCGTCGCTGGTAAATGCTACATCAGCATTTCAAGTTTTTCTTCTTGTTTGTTTTTTCCAAGTTACAAAATCATAACATATGCATCTTGGGAACTGGCAGAAGTCTAAATCCGGTCACATCTTGACTTGTGACCAGATGTAGCAGGTAGACTGTGAGTTTGTTTCTGCTGTCAGCAGCTGGCCTTGTAACACTGTTGCACTGCTCTGGTCTGCATGCAGTTTTTCAATGACTCTGATTGTTTTATTGCATTATGTTTCTGTTCCTGCCCTAACAAACCAGTTGCCGAGGAAAGGTAATTTACTGTAACTGATACCACGGCAGCAATTAGATTTTGCTGCCCTTGTGAAGCTAATTGCATTGATTTATGTGTTCCTTTCTTCGGTTTGCATTCTCCTACGGAATATGTTCCCGCCTTTCGGCATCGTCCGCCTTCATTTTTCCTCCAGGTTTGATATTCCTAGGGTCTGGTCTCACATTTTGTTCCCTTTAAAATCATTACTGGTTGTCATATTCATGGCTTTGTTATTATTCCTCTTGAATGCTGCTGCAGTGTTCCAGTACATCACAGAAAAGGTGCCGCTAAGCTAAATGCACTGCACTCGTGTTGGGACTCAAGAGGGTTTTTTAATAGCTATTTATTGAATGTGCCACTTCTGTGTAATGCAGCCATATAATTGCATTTGTTTTGGGAAGGAGTGTATATCTGCCCTCTCTGTGATGAATACGCCGTTTAATGCAGCCCTCTCACTGTCAACGTAATTAACCCTCCATCTCTTTTGCCTTGCCCACAAGGGGTCACAACGCATATCCCTGCAATGCAAGTTGAATCGCTAATAAAATGATGCAGGCATGCCGCCTAGTGGGTTGACTCGGACACTGCACTTTACAAAAATACTCAGACTGCAGCGTGGGTAGGGCAAAAAAAATCTAAGACTTTGTTCCATAAGGGAATCTACTTTGTCTCAAATCACAACTACAGTACATCATTATCTTGCATTTTTATCAGACGTAAAATTCTAAATCCTTAGTTGTTACGGCTCACTTCTCTGTTCCGCGGCCGCTTAATTACACTCAAATGTATCTGACTTGATGTTGTCAAACAGTAGTTTTTATTCAAGACAGGACATCCAGATGATCACATAATAGATGAACAGGCATTTGTTCAGCACAAATTTATTTTCCAATATATATATTTTTGCTGTGGCTGTGCTACGCCAGAGACCCCACAACTAAGCAAACCTTCAGCCCACCAAATTTACATTTATTGTCTATGTATGCATATCGACACATTATGTACATGTGTATACACTTTGTACACACATAGGTTGCCAGTTAGTCTTTTCTATAAAGTTTGCATCCATTCAAAAATGTTTTAGCTTTGGATGATGCAACAACAACAAAAAAACAAAAAACAAATAAGAAAACAAAACAAAATAGGATTAATAATAATAATAAAAAAAGAGCAAATGAAGGATATAAAGTTTCTTGAAGACACCAACATTAGTCTGCATGTTACCTGTCAACGAAGGTGCAGGCATCTAAAATTGTCAAAAAGTGTTAGGTTCTCATAGCTACTTGCAAAATATTTGTACTCCTCATACTTTTAGTATTTTGTCATTTTATAACCACAAAGTTCATTGCATTTTATTTAGGCTATTTGTGCCACATCCACTCCAAAGTTTCATTTAGCTTGGAAGTGGAAGAAAGATTTGAATTTTCAAAATGTTTGGCGCACGTATCATTCAGCCCCCTTTTCTCTGATGCCTCTAAATACAATCTAGTGCAACCAGTTTTCTGTCGGCATTAATTTCAGTGTAAATACAGTCGTTCTGTGAAGGCCTCAGAGGTTTGTCAGAGAACATTATTGGTCAAACAACATCAGGCAGATCAAGGAGCGGAGCAGACGGGTCACAGATACATTTGTGGAAAAGTTTAAAGCGGAGTTAGGTTATAAAACAATATCCCAAGCTTCAAACATCTCGCAGAACTCTGCCCAATCAATCATCCAAATGAGTTTGACACAACTAAAAAGCCACCAAGAAATGTCCATCCACCTACACTATGATGTTAATCACAGAATCACTCAAGGGATCCATGGTGGCTCTAGTAGACCTGGTCTCTGTGACAGATTGGGAAGGAAAAAGTCAAAAGAAGTTCTGTTTAAAGTTACACAGGGCGCACAGAAACTACGTGGAAGAAAGTGCGTTAATCACATGGACCAAACACTACAGCTAACCACAAAACGTGACAGCTTCATGCAGTGGAAATAGTATCTCCACCAGGCACAAAAAAAGCTAGCCAAAAACATAAATCTAGAACTTTAATGCACTTTTTTAAGTCCAGACCGACTTCGACCCCAATCCAATCTCGAAACTGTGGTAAGGCTTGAAAACTGATTTTGCCAAGATTATATATTGAAGTTTGTGGTCGTAACGTGACAAAAATGCAGAAAATCTCAATACAAGTGCAAGGCCCTGTATTGTCAAGGAGCGCTGCTGCGGAGTAGAAAGGCAGTGTTTCCAGTGGGTCGTTGGTCACATGAAGCAGAGAGAGAAAAAAACCTCTGTCTAAAAAAGTTCAGCCAAACAAACCTGACAAGGCACCAACAATACACAGATGTCTTTTTTTTTCTTCTTCTTAAATACAAACATCAAATTCAATAAGTAGGCCTTGCGAAAAGGCCCAAAAAGAACAAAATAAAAACATTTACATGAGAATATATGAAATGCTGTTGTACAGTTGGAGTGTACATATGGAACGCATAGACTGTAATGTATTCGCCCAGACCTGCTGACCTCCCTTTGGAATGTATGAAGGGATCATTTCACAGGTGGAAAAACGCAGGCAGGACTTGCATCTGGCACTGAAGGCAGCAGAAGATTCTCAGGAGGGCAGCCGAATCTGCCCTACCAGTAGTTTGAGTAAGAAAGAGGAAACAGTTTTGAACAACAAAAGTTGGTGATTGAGGAGCTTTGCAGCATAGCACCAGCGTGGATTTATTCATTTATTTTTGTTAATTCCCACTTCCTTCCCCAGCAAATAGCAGGTATCCAAGCATAGAGGGGCTGCAGCTACAGTTTGGGTATGAAAGATGTGGGCGAGCAGAAGACCGTTTGTGTTGCATCACTGACTCAGACTATCCGTAGTGCCACGTCGTCAGCCAAACAAACAAGGGTCAGAACTGGGAGCAGGCCTTTCGGGCTTTCAGCTCGCACTCCTAAAAATTGCCAGGCTGACATTTTGGTTGAGAGCATCAACCGTCTACACAATTCTCATTCACTAAATTGAGTTTTAAGACAGATCAGATCAGATCAAAGATTCTTGACATTTGAAGAATGAAAGCCTTTTCCATTGATTTTTTTCTTTTTGGAAACAAGTGTGACAATTTGCAGAGTTTTTTTCTTTTAAAAAGTAGTCAGGGGTTAAACTGGGAGTGAGCAAAATAACAAAACAAACTGAAAACCACACAGGGAAATTACAGTATATTTAAGTTTTATTTGGTTCATAAAGCAACAAAAAGCTTTTGTTTAATTATTATTTAGTAATGAGAGCTGAACAGCCTTGCCTTTTTCTCATTAAAAGGTGAACAAAATCCCAATTTAACCCCTGGGTTTACATTCATCTAAACAATGACAGCATATAACAATAAAGACCCAACAAGTGGTGAGATAAACAAAGCTGCAAGGCTTCATGCAGTGCTACCTTATTTAGATTTACATTGATCCTACTGTTGAGGGAACAGAATTACTTACAGTCTAGGACACATTTATTGGTACACCTTGTAAAAATGTTTTAAAAGCTCTAAAATACACCCATCTTTCATTGCAGTAGGATAATCTCCCATATATATATATTTTTTTAAATACAACTCCAATTTTTAATTTGAACCCATTTATTGATTTGCAAGTATAATCCCTGTTAATAAATAATTGGATTTTAGCAACATTTGTTGCTAAAATGAGAATCAATTTAAAGAAAAATATTAATGAATAATGATTATAATAATAAAAAAGACTTTATTCCTCTGTGAATCAGAGTTTCTAGGTTTTTAGGAACATCTGATTAGTGATTTTTTGTTTCTGGGGCATCAAAATGACGTGACACAGAGCCAGTAGTCCTTGGTTAGTGGCTAAAAGCAGCCAAGCCTTGGGTTCTGTATTATACTAAGCATGAATGTGTGAACAAAATGTCATGCCCACTGATAGGTACGGTGGAGGATCTGTGATGGTGTGGGCATGGTTGTCCTCAAAAAGGCCTCAGGAACCTCACAAGAGCACACAAAATCATGAACACTGTGAAATCCCAGGAGGTCTTTAAGTAAAACTCTGCTGGGCTCCAACAGGAGGATCAAAACGAGTCATAAAGCATAAGAAACCCACCCGGTAATATCAACACAGAAATGGTTCCTGAGACAATATCTCAGTCTCCAGAGCCAAATCCTGTAGGAAATCTGTGGGCTGAGTGATGAGAAGATAATTCGGGAAGATCTAGAGCGGTGGCGCTCAAACTTTTAGCCATGTGACAAACTGATTTGTATCTGTGAGTTTATGATAAACTATACTTTAGATATTTTATTGACAACTCTAAAAGAAGTCAGATTTTCTTGTAGAAAAGGAACGTGGAAAACCTAGCACATCTAGCACACTAAAAGTGCCTCACACCTTTGCCTTTCAACAGTGATTTTCTACATTTTGGATCAATTGTTTTCAATTTTCTTGGTCTAGAACATTCTTTTTCAGTCTGTTCTCAGCTGGCCCACTTGAGCCGAGTTTAAATGAGTGGGTTATGAGTAAAACTCGCTACAAGTTTGTGGTCCAATTTATTATGATATTAAAATGAAAGTCAAACAACGTGACTTTACCTGAAAACCTCGACTGGCGGTGTAAAAAAAAAAAAAAAGAAAGAAAAAGTACCCTAACCTGCCAATTAACGTGGCTAACACTTTAAGCCTGTTCAGCAACAGTGTAATGGTGCAAATCACCTAAAACATCTTAAACTTACATCCACTTCTCTCACAACAGAAAACACTAAAGCGGTGACCTTCATGGTACGTCTGCCATGCTCTACGATCTAGTGTCAAACTAAAAGTGACCCGCAACACGATCGGTGACTCTATATGCCTCTTTGCCGTATATTTGCCTTTAGACATAATGCGTTACTTGAACACTGCATTTATAATAATTCACCATTACTGACAGAACGACTTGTGTGACTAGAGATATGAGCACGCATGGCTCTAAGAAAGCACAGACACTTGTTAGTGAGTGTTCATCTGGTGGCGCTTACAAGCCTTAACATGCAGGTGGTGGTGGAAGGGTGACACAGAAAACCAAAGCAATAAATACATTGTATAAAACATAATTTCATATCAATATATTAAAATACTATTCAAAATAATGTCTTAGACAATATTGCAATATGAAATTGACTGATAAATAGTTGGTAGGCCTAAACAGAGAAATATATAACTATGAAGGACATATACTATGTCCTTCATAGTTTTGCTGTTTTGGATTTTTTTTTCCAGAAAATTTCCCAGTTGGGCTGCAGTACAATCCAGAGAGCTAATACATTTTTTTTTTAAACAATAAGAACAACGAACATACAGTACACAGCCTCATAATAAGGATTAACACACTTAGTAGGCTACAATATAAAGGTCAAGACAGAAAAATAGAAAAATATCAATAGAAATCAAAAGTCAAATACAGAGAAAAGTATATAGAGTAAGTGTACTTATGAGTCTTTGTGGTTCTTGGAGCTGGAGCTCGAGTCGGCTCTCGTTGTTGGGATGTTGACTGTGTAGCTGTAAATCAGTCCTGACACACACTTCCACACAAACACAAAAAGCTACATACGTTTGCAAATATGGACTCATGCAATGGCACACGGTTCTGCACAGGTGCAGGTGTGTACTCACCCATACACAGTCAGTCTCACGCAAACATACACACACACACACGCAAGATAAACGCACATATCTCACATGACCGTGCAGCATTTGCAGGTCTGTTTCTTCTCCTTCTCTCCGTCCTCTCCGCCTTCGTTGGCCTTCTCTTTCTCCGCCATGCTGCCGTTGGGCGGGGCCTGCTCCTCCGTGGCCGCGTCCGCCGCCTTCCCCTCACCGTCGTCAATCACCACGAACTCGGCCTTCACGTTGCCGTCCACGCCCTCCATGCCCAGGGCCGTGTGCGTCTCCTTCTCGTCGGTCTTGTAGCCCATGAACACGAGGGTCACAGGGTTGTCCTCGCTGGCTTGGTCGGGGTTGGGGCCCAGCATCGTGACCTCCGTTACCTCTCTCTTAGGGGTCTGGCCGGAGGTCTGCACTACTCCGTTCTCACCTACAGGGAGCGCCAGAGCATTGACGAGAGGACAAATATGGAGAGAAGGTGATCAGGAAAGGGGCAGAGACAATGAGAAAGAGGATATACTGTTTTAATAATCTGTGGAGCTATTATTAGGTTATTAGCTGGCTTTCTCTTCGTGTCAAGTGTTGCAGCTATGTTGCCATGAACACAGAGCTCACCATTTTCTTTGGCCACACCTTTATTAGTCGGCACGCCTGTCTCCAGTTCTTCAATTTCTTGCTCCAGCCTGGCTCAGAAACACACACACACAAAAAAAAATCACAAACTTTTGCTTTTAATACTTTCACTCAACGCCAAACTTTACTTTTTTTTTCCTCTATTAAAATTTTTGTTTGTTTGTTTCAAACAGATACTCACCTGAGGATGACCTGTTCCAGAAGCTTGGTCTTCATCTCGTCCTCCTGCAGACGCCTCTGCGTCTCCTCTTCTGCTGGAGCTCCATCTAGCAACCAGCGCTCCCTCAGTGACTTTGACTGCAAGTGGACACAAAACAGTGAAATGCCATTGTAGGGGTGCGTGCGTGTGTGTGACTGTGTATTTAACAATGACATTAAAAAGAGAATAATGGAGAATCTCTGTCTGCCCTTGATGGCTTGGCGTTCTTGACTAGATTTTTTTTTTTTGTGTGTGTGTCTGGATTACACTGAAAGCACCTCAAAAGATATCTCTAAACAAGGAACAATTTGTATTTTTATGCGACAATGTGGAAAAATGAGCAAAATGTAGGCGATAATTGTCTAATTTTATCGTCTGGACAAACTGACACCTGTAAATAACTTCTAGTGCAACCAGTTGTTTTCAGAAGTCAACAGAATCCACCAGTGCGTATTTTAATCTCAGTATAAATCCAGCTGCTCTGTGAATGCCTCAGGGGTTTGTTAGGGAGCAGTAAGTGAACAAACAGCGACACGAAGACCAAGAATTGTGGCAGACAGGTCAGGGATAAAGATGTGAAGTTCAATGGCTTACAGTGTAAAGCGATATCTCAAGCTTGAACATGTTGTCAGTCATTTTCACAATTAATTTAACATTTTTCTTCCACTTTTTCAATTCTTCTATCCACCCAGTATTTTTCTGAAATAACGGAACTGTACTCCTACTCTTGGACTTGTGTATTGGACTTCAGAATGCACTTCCTCTATTAAACATGCTGCACAAGCAATATTGCTTTATATAAAAAGCCGCTGAAAGCACTTTTAGTCAGACAAGCATACAACTAGAGTTTCAATTCAATTGTATTCTCTACTTCATTGTGTTTAGTCTGTGTGATTGGTGGTTTTGGACCAACTTTTGAGTAATTTATGTCTGTTATTTTCATCATTTTTACGGCATTTTATCTTTGTGCTACTGTAAAAATATTGCATTCTTCTATCAATCAAGAGAGTTATATAAACAAACTCTATTTACTTAGTTACTTCAGTTGTCTGAAAATGGAGAGAACCACACACCTGTTAAGATATTATCCTACATTTATTCAAAGAAGCACCCAAGAGAACCCCATGGTAGCTTTAGATGAGGTGCAGAGGTCCACAGCTCAGGTGGAGGAATCTGTCCACAGGGCAACATACACTCTAAATAAATCTGGCCTGTTTGCAGTTTGCATCGAGTTATCTATGGGACACAGCAAAGACATGGAGGACGGTGCTCTGCTTATATAAGACCATAATGCAAGTCTATGACCTACATGCAAAACAGTAAGTGTGGCAGAAAAGTAACTAACAACAATGTGCTGTTTGTACCCATGTTTATTATTCTTCGCAAACTTACAGATCCCGGAATGGAGGGTTCATAAATCAATTCAGCAATTTTACGCCCCAATCTACCTTGAACCTGTAACCGGAGTGACTTATGAGGGGTGATATGGGATTGGAACGAGAGCCTGTAGTCTGCCTGGATGGTCAGAGCGAGATGGTATCATACTAAAGTGTGTGTCTGATGGGAGATATATGTTAATCAGCATCATCTAATAAAGATAACCTGATGAGGATTGTGCCCAAGAATTTTGCTCGTCTTTAAACGTCTGAATGCGTTTGTGTACAAGATGTTTTTCTTCAGCGGGGATGTGTAAGCGGGTCAGAGTTGATGGGAAGATGAATGGAGCTAAAAACCCTCGAACAAGACCCATAGTGCCACAACTCTAAACATAAAACTACAATGACAAATAGAAATTTTAGATCGGAGCATGTTTACATGTTAGAATGAGCTAGTTAAAGCCCAGCTTTAAATTCAATCGAAATTTGACCAAGGCTTGAAAATGAATGTTTACTTCCCCAGCCATTCACTCTGACTCAGTTTGAATCAGAATCTTTTTTGTCTCCAGAAGAACAAAACTGACTTGCAGCTGTAATTGTAGCCAATTCCATGTTACTTTGTGTTGGTATATTGCAGAAACTCCCAAAAAACACATTGGAGTTTATGAATCTGATATATAATATGTGAAAATGTGATAGAGGCACGATTTACTTTTGCAGGGCACTGTGCTTGTTACAAGCACCTCAATGACTCACACTGGTTCTGTCAGATGAGCCTGTGTGCCTTTTTGTACAGATGGGATTAGTGTCACTTTCACCGAGACACAGCAACAAGCCCCTTAGTTAATCTAAGACCAAATTCTCCTCTGTCCAATTCGCCTGCTGACTGGTGCCACTCAGTGATTCAGTCGAACTCTTGAACTGCAACCAAGCAGTCTTGTCCATTTGAGAAAATGTGGCGCCTGGCCATGTTGGACGGAGGCTGCCAGCATCGAACATGTAATTCTGCTAATAAACTTAGCTGAGCATGGGACTGAAAAAGCAGCTGGGTCAGTGGAATGAAAACAAACCGGCTTTATTCTTACACTTTATTTACGACCAACTCTTGCCCGTGTGCTGTTGGCGCTGCGCTTATTTCTTCCCCCGGTTTCTAACCATGTATTCTTATCCTGACAACACCCTCATGTGGAGAAGCTCATATCAAAGCAAATACTTGACATACTTTGAGGTAAATTTAACAGTGCCTTGCTTACAGCTGTTAGATCACACACATACAAAAAAAAAATAATACTAATAAAAGTGAAAAACAAAGAAGCACTGCTTTGCTAAATGAAAAAGCTTTCTCTTTTGTAAGCTTGGTGGGAATTCTTATACAATGATGCAACGTGAATTTCAACACCAAACTTCCCCCTTTTTTTTTTGTTTTTCTAATTTTTCCCCCTCACTCTTTCCTCTCAGACTTGACCCCGGCCCGTTTCTCTCCCGGAGGCATAAAAAGTCCATGAACCTGGATGAAGTTGGAAATATTTTGGTTCACCTCCTGCTCTTTTCAACCTGTTAAGTTTCTCTATTTCACTTTCTCCACTGTGTAATCCAAGTTCAGACACTCAGCTGCCCCGAAGCTTTACAGCACACAGTCTCACAGTGTAATTCAACACTCCTCATTCCCCGGCCCTGCATGGTCTCCTGGGCACTGAATCCAACCCCCTACTCACTCCACCCTCCAGCTCTCTCCCTCTCTCTCCCGCTGTCTCTCAGTTTTGTTCTCTCGCCACACCCTACTACTCTAACGCCTGACATCACTTAACTGGCTCACTCATGCATACCCAAGCACGCGCGCACACATCCCAGGCTGTGTGAAAAAGTCGTAAAGCCGGAGTGCTGAAGCTACGTCTCGTTCCATTGTTCCTCGCAGTAAAAGCTGCTAACGTAGCAGACAAAGGGCGGAACTGGGACACAGGGTGCACACAGACAGACGCGCGTCAGGCCGGTGCGCACATCCAAATGAAATGAGCAGCTGTAGACAGGAGAGCCTCGCTTCAGGAGTCATTTTATGTCTTTTGCGAATCAAATTCACAAAAACAGTCTGCCGTTTCATTCAATTAAACTGTTTTTGTACTTTTTTTCTTTACTCTTTAGATGTAATTTTTCAGTATGCACCTGAACGTAAACAACATACCGGTGGTGGAGTCGCATTACTGGGTCACATCAACTTTAATGATGTCCCATTCCTAATCCATAGGGTTCAAATTAATGTTGGCCCAGCTTTTGCAATTGCGACAGCTTCAACTCTTCTGGGAAGGGAGTTTACGAAGTTTGAAAGTTTGCTTCGGGGAACTTTTGAGAGCTCTTCCAGATGTACAACGCTGAGGTCAGACACTGATGTTGGACCTGAAGGTCCAGCTTGCAATCTCAGCCATTTGGGGCAGCCTTGTGCAGGTCAGTCAAGTACATCGAAAGCAAACTCGTCCATTCATAAACTTAGGAATGTTGCTTTGTCACAGTCATGTTGGAACCGTAGGGGCCATCCTCAAACTGTTCCCACAGAGTGAAGAGCATGAAATCGACCAAATGTCTTGGAATACTACAACATTAAGAGTTTCTTTCATTGCAATCAAAGGAACTGAGCACAGGTCCTGAACAACAACCCCACACACTGAATCTCTTCTGCACCAAACTTTATACAGTGGAGTCAGAGAAAAGCTATTTTCCGGATAGCTGCCAAACCCTCATATGTTCCTCATATCTTCCAAACAGAGAGGTGTAACTTTTTCTTGCCAGAGAACACAGCTCCACTACTCTGTTACATCACTACATGTGGCATTTTACTTTGGTGACATATTGTTTGGAAGCAGCTGTATGGCCACTGAAACCCATCCCAAAAGCTCTGTACACACTGTTCCGAAAGTTTGGAAGGCTTTAGCTATTGACTTTGCAGAAAGCCGGTGATCTATGTCCACTGTGTGCCTCCGTGTGATTTTATGCAACTGTTGTTCCCAATTACCTCCACCTTGTTGCAATACCTAACGGTTGGCTTCTGGCAAACGACTGACTGAATGTTCGACAACTTTTCTGAGAAAAAATGTGGGGAAATTCGGAAGCTTTCTAGCACAAGCCCATTTCAAAAGAGTCAGCCTGCGGGGATGTCGAGTCTGACATCCCCGCAACCCTGGAATACTAAGGGTCATTATACAATGCATAAATGGACGGATATATGTTTAACTTTTCATAAGGTACCAAAATGATGTGTTAACTGCTCATGTTGTATCTGAATCTTTCACTGTTATTTTCAACATGGGGACAAGTAAAAAACAAAGAATTGTACATTTTAGGGTTATTCATTTCCTGGATAACCAGGAAATGATTAATCTTAGTAAGTTTTAATAAGTGAGATTTAGAAACATATTGCCTTGTACAGCCAGACGTCTTATTAAAACAGGAAATATTTTTCTTAATTCTTTCTTTTCCTTCTTTAATTCTACATGAACAAGCATTAGTTGTAAAACTAGTAAAGACCTCTCATTGCATGAACTTTTATAAAGTTATATTTGTTTAGAACATGACATATTCACAATAACGGCTTCAGCTGGTGAAAATCAAGATATATTTTGCCAAAAAACGAATGCTAATTTTTGCCTGACTTAACATCAGCATTAATTTAATGTCTTTTGGTCATCTTACAATTTCCCCTTCACTGCAAAAAATGAGTCCTGGTATGTATGGGGCTGAAGTGATTCAATCATGGAGGTGATACACTAACTTGTGGTTTGTTGAATGGGGTAATTTTTTACTTTTCCAAATTAATGCTGCCTGTGCAAAAAAAAAAAAAAAAGACGCATAGTGAAGAAAGAGTCTTCCCATGCTACTCCACAGTGTGATTACACTTCCCTCTTATCCCCCTTATGTCTGTTTGTGTCAGTGTGTGCGCGAGAGTCTGCATGTGAGACGAAAACGGGGGTGGGGTGGGTGAAAGAACAGTTTCCTGTTGCTGGGAGTGGGACAAAAATCTATTTCCTTTGCCAAAGCTCACTGCATTGTCTGGAGGTTCTGTGTTTTCTTTAGTTTTTTTTTTTTTTCTCGTTATGAGGCATACACACAGAAACAAGCACACGCATGTGCAGCTACACCCTCACAATGGTTTACTCTGAAAATAGAAAAAGTGGGAGCGCGCAGGGGTAACGGCGCAGGTCATGATTACCTTTTACAAACACCAAGCGCCCGCACAGGCGCGCACAAACTGCGACCTTTTGCTCCCATCTTTGAGCTGCTGAACTGTCCCAGGACGAAATAAGCTTTGATAGCGCTGACACATACACTGACAATAGCCTCGGTTCAGATATAATAAGTGTGTGTGTGTGTGTGTGTGTGTGCGTGCATGAACAGCATGTGGAGGAGCTGATGGCGTTATCTGCGGTCCATTCTGAACATTCCGTGACAGCGGCGGTGAGGGAGTATCTTGCTCTGTTGGGCTGCAACACTGGAGAGTTTAATGTTGTTGTGTGGGTGTATAGCAGCTTTGACTCCAAAAAAAAAAAAAGAAGAGAAAAACAGAGGCCTGCCCAGTGATCCTGCTTCAAGTTCTGCCCAGGGAGAGGCGTGAGGGGGTGCAGATGACACAGATTTGGATTTCATCAGTGGAGAGCTCGAGTACATTTCAAAACAGCGTTAAAACCGTGCCTTCAGTCAGAATGTGCAGTGCCTGCCTTTGGTCGGCCCAGTGTTTTGCTTTTGCATTTTATCGCAGTGCTTCTCCAGATGTTTTAATGTTATTTTATGTGAAAGACAGAAAACGTGTGATGCTTGTGTTCAGCAGGGACAGTGACAGAGACGGCGCCCCCCAGGGTCGTGTTATCGCCCCACACCTCTTCTCTCTCTATTACAAAGTAACTAGTCGGGGCCGGAGAATATAAATTCACGCCACACTCTTCAGATTTTAATTGGTGAGAAAAAAAAATTTCAATGTATTGTCTTCACTTCAAAATTATGCACAACATATTTTTAGTTTGTCACATTAAACCTCACTGAAACTACAGTAAAGTTACAAAATCTGAAAAGTACAAGGGACATGAGTATTTCTCCAAGGCATTGTATTAATCAATTTTCCTTTTGTTTCAACATTTTTAAAAGCAAATTGAATTTTGGGGGGCTGCCTGGTGAAGTCAGACATTTTTTTTGTAACTATGATACATAGCTATTTAGCTAAGTTCCTTGGGTATCTTTTTTTAATAAAAATTTTACCACATTTACATAAAGGAGGTAAAGAACCAATAATGTAAGCAGGTGAAGTTTTCTGTGCAGTGAGGATAGAAGACGATTTCACCAACCGAGGAGCATTTGTCTCGCCAAAGGATTGTCCTCACAGAGGCATAAATGCAAAAACATAGAGACAAGTGGAAGAAAACGTATTACTACCTTGAGATGCTGGAGTTGCCGTCGGTCGTCATCAAGCTGCCTCCTCTTGTTTTCAATCTCTGTCTGCTTCTTCCTCTTCTCCTGCCGCCACACAGACACAAGATCTCTCACAAACCGGGCCACAGAGGTTTGAACCAACTAAAAATGAGTGCAACATTATTGAACTGACTTGTTTTTACCGACAATTGCTTTTAACGACTGTTGGCACGAGGAGCACTGGCCCGCAGTTAAACAGGACTCTGAACAGAATTCATCTTGCGAGATTTAAAAGTTACATTCATTCATGTAAATGAATTTAAAAGAAACTTTTTAAGTATGAAAAAGTTGTCAGAGTTAACTTCACAAAGATATCCCCGGTGCGAGAGTTCAATTAGTCTTCGGGGCCCCTGCCGGCTTGGAGCTAACTTATTATGCCTTATGCCGGCTTTGGATGGCAGTCTGCAAAGTGCTCGTGTTAAGTTTTGCGGCGCATCTCCAAAAGGTTGACAGGAGTTTGGTTTTCAGGAGGCAGCTGGATTCTCTCCAGGTTCGAGTCATGAGGGAATCCAAACCGGCTGGCTTCGAGGTATGTGTGTGAGTGTGGTTTCTTTCCAGCTTTTCCCTGGTAGAAATCTGTGAATTCTTTTCATTTTGAGAAATAAATAAATAAATGTTAAGAATAAAAAAAAGAAAAATCAAATGAGTCATAGCCAACAGTGCAAGGTGTAAATCCCTGCCTACAAACAAATGAGTTCATCCAGCAAAAATCCAGTTGACCCTCAGAAACAATAGAAAAACGATTGTTGTATGACACTATGCCAATTTGGACTATTTATGTAACAAGTTCTGATATGACTGGAAAGATGTTGATGAACTGCACCGAGTGGAAAAGATCAGTGTGACATATTTTGACTATTTTATAAAATACAAAAACACACAGCCAGATGCATAATCACATTTTTGCAAAAATAGTTGAAACAAGTGAGCTTTTTATAATGTCACCCAAGGGAAGGATTTGGATTTCTTGCACGCAACTCCACATGTAGCTAACAGATGATTAGAGAGTCTGGAAAATTCTAGAAATCCTTGAATTCATTTATAATTCCTAGAATTTGCTGGGTGGAAAATATGCACTTTCTTTTCTCCAGCCAGACTCCTAAAAAAATGGACTTATCAGCTTGCATTTCTAGAAGTTTGCATGATACAAAGCAGCGCACAAATCATTCAGCCAGCCAAGAATTCCTCTAAAAACCCCTGGCATTTTATAAACGCCAGTGGTTTAAAAAACCCCTTGCACTAGAGGCTTGATTTTATTAATTTAAAAAAAACTGCATTTCTGATCTGTATTATTATTATTTTTGTTTGTTTTGTTTTAACACAACAGAAAGAAACAGACATTGAACAGCTGAGTAAGATACCAGGAGTTAGGCAGCAAAAAAAAAAAAAGGAGTGAGCTGTATCTACACCATTAGCTTTGGATGCCTACTAATGGGTGGAGAAGATGGGCTCTAAAAGGTTGAGTCATTAAGCCATCCTACCAGACCTGGACAGGCAGCAATGATTAGTTGTCTCTACAGCCGTCAGTATGGACAGGCAGTGTGTTCGTGTGTGTCTGCATGTGGATATAGCTTACAGCGATGACCTGGAGTCTCTCCTCTTGTGACACCTCCGCCATCCTGAGAAAAGAGAGAGACAGAGAGAGAGAGAAAAAAATAGAGTTAGCAGCAGATATTTGGAGCCCCAAATATCTGTGACTGTCAAGATTACATTTCGCGCCCTTTGGTGAGCAGTTCTCTTCCAGAGGAGCGTTCGCCCAACGAACCTGCACTTTCCAACGACTTCCCAGTCGTTGGAAAGCGAAATATTTGGTCTATTTGGCACTAAGGCAGTGTCTCTTTCCTGTCAGGGTGAGACAGGGTAGGCAATGCTAATGTGGAATCATGGCGCTGCTGGAGATTCCTGCTCTAATGGGTTCCAGACCAGAGATCCAGGATGGAGGATGGACGGAAGCAAGATTTAAAGCCAGAGTGGAATGACTGTGACTGTTGCCCTACTGAGATGGGACGCTGAGCGATAGTAATAGTCATAATAAGTCTCCACTAAAGGCTCATGTTATGATTATACAAATGACAGGTCAGGAATGGCTTTTAAATGTGTTACTTCCTTTGCAAGAGGGCTTTCAAATAACAAAAAAAAAAAAAAAGCACACGACAACAACACTGGTAATTCAGACCAGCCACATTAAAAAAACTAAAGAAACACCACTTTGGATATGAATGTAAGAAGCAAAATAATTGTTTGCATATCAAATAGTAATTTCTAAAACTCCTGAAAGGTTGGATCTTATATTGCTCTTTGCTCAATAAAGCATGACTTTAAAAGGAACTCTAAACCATAGAAACTGGAAATATAATTATAATTTATAAGGTAAAGATCTAGATTCTCTAAGGAATACACAGAGCAATCCCAAAGCTCTACTAGGATTGCTCACATGCCATATTTTGCATATCCCAAAGGTTGCCGTTAGTAACAGGTGTTTACAGTTACTAATGCTAAATAATGTTATGTCAGTTCTGCATTCATATTGTTTTCTAAACAAATAATCGTGAAACCCTATCTCACACAGTGTGACAACGCCTCTTTTACTAAATCGAATACAGGGCCAGGCAAACTATTTTGAATTTTATAAATGATTTAGTTCCTGGAGAGAAACGGGAATTTGCCGAAATAGGTATCAGCAAGTCGAAAAAGATCAGAAAGCTCAGATCAGTGCATCTCTAAATAAGAAGTGAAAACAAAGTATTAATCAGCCAAGCGTGTTGCATAAGAGAGAAGACACAATCAGTTCATTTTACTGGACAACCTCTACTGAAACCACCCTCTCTCTCTTGCTGAGAGGTGTGTCTGCTGAATGGGACACTGTGAGTGGAATGTATGCAAAGCATGCCTATATTTATCCCGCTAAACATGAGATTTGGTATCTGCCAAAAATATCCATTGACATTTCTTTAGTTACAAACCAGATAAGTTTATGGTTTTTTTTGTCAGCAGAAGAGCAGAACGGCACGTTTATGAATGGAATACTATTAAATCCTTGTAATTTTATTCAAAATAAAATACCGCCTGTAAGTTATGTGATTGTTCAGAGAGTAAAACTGCTTAAACTTCTTTAAGAAAAAGAAATAGCAAATTTGCACTTATAAGTTGATAAACTGGAACTGCAAATATTTCAAATTGGTTACATTAGTCTTCATATTCTCAAACATAGCTTCATCAAAGCTAAAGATAATCACCTCATGAAGAGATACTTAAGATTAAAGCCATGAAAAAACACCCCTGTAGAGCACAACTTAAATGTGGAAATCAATGTAGCCCAGTGATGGGGATGGTTAACAAGTCTAATTTACTGAGTCGGTGTCAAATTATCAATAGCTGCAACCTCAGGAAAAGATATTGAGTTCTCCCACTCTGTTTGGAGGCTCTCTCTCTTGCTTGAGAAAGAAAAAAAAAAAAAACTGGGAAAACTATTTTGAGATTGTGTAAATGATAGCTTTTTGCACAGATTGGAGGCAATTCTTGCAACACAAAGAAATGTTTTCATTGCTGAGGAAGGGAAGCTTTAGTTTCCCTCCCTTCTTCGAATCAAACTCTCTCAAACAAGCAACAACGGAACGACTCTGCACGACTCCGATCACCTAAACCGACATGCTTCGGTGCAAAACACGTGCTGAAGTGGTGTCACCGCTCCTGTTGGGTGGCAAGACTCCCACTGACACGGTGCGAATTAGCTGCCACTAATTCACGGAGCTTATTATGAAGGCTGAAAACACACAGACTCAACAGCTCTTGAGTCGGCCCGGGTGTGAGCTGGAGTCTTTTGAACCTCGAGGACTGCAGCGGTCTCAAACATGCGGGTTCTAGGACTCTTCACACTCCTGTACAGCAATCATATGAGTGACCCCAACAAACAGACTGTTTTTCCATCAAGCCACATCAGCATCACATGGAGATGCTTTGGAAAAAAACAAAAAAGAAAAGAGAGAGAGAGAGAGAGAGAACCGCAATCATCTGATCAACCCCTCAAGCACACACACAAACACAGTCATGTTATACTTCCTGGATTTTCTTTTCTCTTTTTCTCATTTGACCTGTCAAGCCAATCAAGCAAAATCAGGAGGAATGAAAGAACAAGTGAGAAAGGCATGTGGAAATTCTCCACATAGAGAAAATGTTTGACATGATTGACCAGAACTGTAAAAAAATAAAATAACCTAGAACTAATGCTACAAATATTTATCGCCTATCCGTTATTATTATTAGAACTAAAGTCAGTGTTAACTCTGAAGAATTTTTTGCATGCCCAAAAAAATCACACTAAAGTTTTCAAGTAATGTTCCAGACCATTAAAAAAAAAAAAAGCCTGCTTCTGAAATAATAAATAGGCTCACTGGTAGTTGTCAGAAAAACAGCCTGTGAATTGTCCTCCCATTGCCTACACGTGTCCCCTTGTAATGGACCTGCTGCATGGAAGTCCTGTTTGAAATTATACCCACATCTTTGGTTGTTCTGCTAACTTTGGCACGCTGCATACAGAAACTGGTGCACAGAAGCTGCACACTACATTGATCGACATGGACCGTCATTGATTTTAGCCTGGGGTCATCAGGCATGCAGCCGGCGGATGCTAACATTCACAGCTCATTATGATAATTTCCTTAACCATTAAGAATGCAGGATCACAGTATTGATGATTTTATTACACACGTTTCAGCTGAATACGGCTATGCTTATGATATTGTTAACGACTAATTTTCTGTGAATTAGTGAATGAACAAGCATCACAAAGAAGAAACTGATGGACAGTGTATAGTTGACAGTAAGTTAGGTTCAAAAACAGGTTTGTGTTAGACCGGCAAATCCAGAAACTGAGAATTTACTCTGAAGGTAGGAGTTCCTATTTAGTGCGCATTATAAAACACAACACAACTTAGAGGGTGATTTTGGCCTGATTTTAGTTGATTGTTTCCATTTTGTTTTAAACAAAATTCAAGATTCAGTAGCGCTTCTCCCAGCTCCATAACTGATGTGACAAATTTAAAAAAGCATTCCAAAGAAACTTGGTGGATCTTGACATAAAAAAATGCAGGCTCGTGTTCTGGTGCCCCTTAAACTACACACACTGAGGGAAAAGCTTCGTGGCATCGTTAGGAGAGTAATTACATTTGTCACTGTAAAAGGAAGACAACGAGGGAGGCAGGAAGTCACTTACAGACAGGGTACAATGACACATTGAATCACATAAATGTAAGTGATCCAAAATGTCGATCAAGAAAAAGCTGGAAACGGATGTGATCTTTAACAGCCAGTGGGGGTTAGAACATATGTTTCTGGCAGTATGACAAAGCAGGTGTGTAACAGCCCAAGCCGGTAAAACACTGTCGTCCCTTGCTTTCTGTTGGGTGCTCTGCAGTCGTAGCGTTTCCTGGAACACATTAACTGGCTGCAAAGTGCACCATCATGTTTTCTAACCACATTTTGCTCATAATGCTCTGGCTCCAGTATACACTTTTGCTCTGTGCAACTCCACTGAATCCCCTCAAAGAAATTAACTTAGTTCCTAAGAAGCTACATAAATAATAATTTAGTCAAAATTGCTGTAATCCAATTGCATGTAAGCAGTCATAAAGAGCAGTAATCCAGGACAGATATTACTTTTAAAGTCTGACTGATTATTTTAATAATACTGTCACTGATTATGAACATTATGCAGATCTGAAGACAAATAAGCTGTACAGTTTACAGATGCAATGTTTTCTAACAGGAACTGGCAGGGTACATAATAATGGCAATTTTCCCTACAACTGCTATTGTTTTCCTACAATATTAATAACCAACATATTTTATTTCATGTGACAGAAACATCTTGGTTTTAAGCATAATTGTTTGCTTTTTTAAAAGAAAGCTGATTATTAGAGTTGTTTTGACACAGAAGCACCGCATCAATTATGAACGTAAGACAGTCTGAGTGCATAAAGGTCAGCAAGAACATGGCGCACCAACATGAGACCACTCACATCGTCGGACATCTGCCTCTGTTTCACGCATAATTGTCTTTAGTGACACATTACAGCAGTAGTCTTAATCACAAATTCCTTATTTATGTCGTTTCCTGGCATCTGTTGATTATCAGTGAGTAAAAGCCTTATATTAAAATGCCTGAGCTGATTTGATATCATTTTACAACTACTTCTTCAAACAAAGTCACATGCATATGTTCAGTCTGATTGAGAGATCCAGGGAATGTTCAAGTCTTGCGCGTAAAATAAATAATAATAATAATAAAAGTGGATTTTGTGCTCTGTGATGTGTTCAAACATGAATGCTGCAGGTTCAAATAACTGCATAGTAGCACTCTAAAGGGTGAACGCTTTCAATAAAGAACCACTGACTTAAAGTTGCTGACAAGCTGCTGAAAAGTATCAATAATGTTTTTGTCTCCCAAGTGAGACTGAAGCTGATTGTGGCGGAGCAGAGAATTTTTAATTCGTGCTGGTGGTTTGGAAACTTTACAGGCCAGATTTGTTACCTGCGTTGTCGGAATTATTATCGGACATTCAGAGGGTAGAAAACAAAATTTAGCAAAATTGCTGTAATTCCAATTGCATGTAAGCAGCCA